GCACTGGGGTATAACTCAACCCCTCCTCTTACAGTTTATAAACTCTTGCATCCTACCTATTCTTCTTTATTGTTCACCCTTATTCTTTCCTGGTTTGCTTAAAAGGGACTTTGTCACAATTCATAGAATGCTGAAGACTGTCAGCAGAGTGAGTGGTGTCCCAGTGGACTACATAGTTAACGTCGTTGTCGATAGGCATTTGACTTCGTGCAGTATATTTGCCAAAGGGATTTTGTCTGACTTGGAGCATCCACTTCACCCTCAGCTTTCACCTTGCATCTCCTCAGGTAGAACGAGAAGTAACTTCAGAAAACTGTATGCTCGCACGTCTAAGTATCAAAATTCTATGATACCATACTTGGCACGTATTTTATGTGATGAAAATAGCGTCAGGCAAGAATTGACTAACCTTTTTTCATCTAGTAAATAAACAATCTTCTCCATCCATCCTTATATACCTTCAAGTTTTACTTTTATTATTTCTATTATATTTATGGTCCTGTTGCTTCTTGTTCTCACTTTCATAACTGCAAACACCAACTTATCTCTATGACTGCTGTAATCTTTGTTTTTCCCCTCACCATATCATGTAAAGAGAACATCATATTCAATATTTTTAATCATGCAAGGATTCGTATACCGCATCGACAATACTGTGTGAAACAAGCCGACGGCAATTTTCACTTGTATTATTATTATTATTATTATCATTACCTTAGCTGCTATCATTATTATTGTTTCCATTTTATATGCTGCATGTTTTTTATTTTTTTTTATTTATTTATTTTTATATTAACCGTACTGTAAATGTAGAAAAATTTTCTTTGTGATTAATTTTATTTATAATTTGAGGAAATTAGATGCAATATTGTGATTAATGCTGAAAATTCCATTCTGTATCACAAGTACTGTTTTTGGAATAAAGTAAATTATTATTATTATTATTTGAGGATGGTTAATAGCGACAGGTGAAATTTCAACAAACCTTTCAATAGCCGTTTCTACAAGTGATCTTTGACTTGTTTCATTGCTTTCTATGTCCTCTTCAATCACAGTGTCGATAACGTCAGTGGTATTGACAATTGTCGGACTAGGGGAAACTGAGGAAAGCTTATCTGAAGCCTCACATTCAACTTCAGCTACAGCTTCAGTAGACAGAGACGAGGCAACATCTGATGCAATGCAATTATCATCTTCAGAATTCGAAAGATACGCCTCATTCTCATCAATCGTTTCTGTGACTTGTCTATCGTTATCTAAAGCACAGTATGTAGCAGTATCGTCAATCTGCTCCAAAATGAATAGGTTCTTATAAGAAATTCGGCAGTGATCCTTGTTAAGTGGTCTTAAGCTAAATCCTTCTAAGTGTCAGACTATCAATTTCACTTTCAGACACAAACTAGTAGTTGGTTCGTTCCTTTTAATTTTATAACGCAGTGGGAACAAGACTAGGAACTGTGTCGGTGGATTGCGATTTTCCCGTAATGTTTTCTTCTCATCCTATATTCTGTTGATACCAGGAAAAATTGTTCGTCTTGTCTTAAACGTAAGCAAGTCAAAGCACTCTGACTCCACTTTTACTGTTCTTGAATACCGGAGAATTCTTAGTAGTCTGGTTGGTACTCAGCAATCAACATATACATTTGTAGTGACCCATTTTATTACTCATCATCGTACAATACTTTCATTGTTTAATTGTACTTTGTTTTGTTTATTACTCTAAATCTTGCGTGTTAACAATTGATAGATTTTTTGTACTCGCTCGATTTTTGAATTTTCATTGCTGCTATAGTACACTATCGTATTCCTTCGCAAGTGCCTTTTGAATTACGTTGTGGATGTCGAGTAATCGCAACGTTAGGACACAATTATAAACGCGAAGAAGTATTAGGATATACGTATACGCTAGTTCAATCAAAATATAGTAGCACAATAACTGGTGAGCCCGACGACAACTTGTTGACTCCGACGACTACTTGTTGACCTCGACGCATCGTTACACTTGCTGGATTAATAAAACTCTAACTTTCGTGGATCTCTATATTTACTAGACATTTTGAACTCATTCTTGTGCTATCTCATCACACAAACTGCAGTAAATTACGGTAACCATCTGCATTACATGTTTTTCTGTTTTGCCATATCCTTAGTGTGCACAAATTTTGCTACTGTTGAACCAATTTTACGAATTGTAACATGTCTTCCAATACCTCTGATAACTTAGAGCTGGGATCTGTTAGTACTATTTCTCGTACTGTACCAGTTTTTAAGCCCAGAGACCCTCATCTTCGGTTTGCACGACTGGAGCATTATTTGACTAGCAATAAGCTCACGTCACAGACAGCTAAATTTGGCATTTTGAGTACAGTACTACCAGACGAAGTCGCCGAGCAGGTACGGCAATACATCGTTCAACCCAGCACAGAAGCGCCTTACGACAAGTTGAAGGAAGAGGTACTGCGATGCACTTCGCTTTCGGATAGGCAAGCACTCGATCGCCTGTTAAGCAATGTTGAGTTAGGTGATAAAACCCCATCGCAACTCATGAGGCATATGCAAAGCCTAGTTGCAGGAAGAGAAATCGATAAACGTCTCTTTTACCAAATCTGGCTGCGACGACTTCCTGCAAACATCCAGCAAGTTCTTGCTTTCGGAGACGACGACATTGACATAGAAAGGCACACCGAAATCGCGGAGCGCATGTACGAGAGGTCAACACCTCAATCTGTCGCTTCCACTAGCAGAATACCAGACACACACGATAGAATACAGACTCTAGAACACAAAGTCGACAAAACGTCAAACGAACGCATAGAAGCCTTAGAACGTAAAATCGACGTGCTCACCGAGCAATTAATGACAATGAGGGTTAATAGACAACCTATCACAACGTACAGAAGACAGCGTAGCCACTCACGCAATATGCGTAAGTATAGCTTACAACAGACTATATGCTGGTATCATCGCAAATTTGGTGTACACGCAAAACGGTGCACACAACCGTGTGCTTTCCAAAAAACGGTGGCGTTGGGAAACGAAAAGGCCGGCGGTCGGTGACGACTGCGGTCGCTGGCCAACACACGTCCCACAGCCGTTTATTCAGGGTGACAGACAAAACAACGGGGGCACAATTCCTGGTAGATACCGGTGCAGAAATTAGTGTAGTTCTCCCAACACCCAACGAACGCTTACAACCAAACCCAGCATTAGTTCTCAAGGCTGCGAACAATTCTACCATAAAAACGTTTGGAACTCGGAGACAAAAACTTAATTTTGGTTGCAGTACACCATTTGAGTGGGAGTTCGTAGTCGCCGATGTAACTTTTCCTATCATTGGAATGGATTTTCTTCAACACTACGAATTGCTAGTCGACTCTAGTCACCACAGATTGATAGATAGCAGTCGTAAAATATCGATTTCAGGCATCTCCACAGATGTCGAGAGTATTCGCTTGATGGTAGCCACAGCAGATCAATTATCCAGGTACGATATTTTGTTAAAGAAATTTCCTGAACTGACACAGAGCGATTACTCCACAGCCTCTCTCAAACACAACGTAACACACCATATCGTAACTAAAGGTCCACCGGTCTCAGCAAAACCACGTCGTTTAGATCCAGCTAAAATGCAAATAGCAAAAGCAGAGTTCAACAGATTACTGGATCTAGGAATAATACGACCGTCGAACAGCCCATGGTCATCACCACTGCATATGGTACCAAAGAAAAACTCAACAGAGATACGACCATGTGGAGATTACCGAGCTTTAAATAAGCAGACGATAGCAGATAGATACCCAATTCCGCACATCCACGATTTTTTCCATAACATGGCAGGTGCTCAGATATTTTCCAAAATTGATCTCGTTATTGCATATTACCATATACCGGTCGAACCCAAGGACATCCCCAAAACCGCGGTAACCACTCCTTTTGGCTTATTCGAGTTCGTCCGCCTACCATTTGGCTTGACTAACGCAGCGCAAACATTTCAGAGATTCATTGACCAGGTATTGCACAGCCTCCCATTCACTTACGCTTATATCGATGATATACTGGTTGCAAGTAAATCCCCTGAGGAGCACCAACATCACTTAGAAACACTCTTTAAACGTTTAACCAAATATGGAGTTGTCATTAAACCAAGTAAATGTGAATTCGGTAAGAAAACTTTAAAATTTTTGGGACATCAGGTAGACAATCAAGGCATTCGACCAATAGCAGAACAGCTGCAAGTCATAAAAGAATACCCCATTCCAGATTCCTTCAAAAAGTTACGCAGATCTCTTGGTCTCGTCAATTTTTATCGCCGTTTCATTCCTCACTGTGCACAGCTGGCCCAACCTTTGACAGATCTACTAAAAGGTCATGCAAAATCGCTGCACATGAGTACTTCAGCAATCGAGGCATTTGAAAAGCTGAAACAAACTTCAAGCTCAGAAACTTTACTGGTACGTCGCGACGTCAACGCTCCTATAGCGATTATGACAGATGCATCAGACGTCGCCGTCGGCGCAGTTCTTCAACAATTTTCTGATGGAAAATGGCAACCTCTCGGTAACAAAACATTGGATGAACTCATCGCAACTCTCAGCTCTATTCGATAAATTCTTCAGTTTTATATGACACCCGGCTGAACTTCGGAAAGCAATTAAGGTCAATACGTCTCGTCATACATCAAACATCGGTGAGTGGCTTGGAAAATTCAAATCAACGCTATATATCGGAAAGAAGCACGTCGACCTTTGTCTTCGCCGTGACCATCACAAACACTCAGCCTTCTCAATAGTTATTATCCGAACTTTCTGTTTACTTTTGTTACTATCACATTTTCAATAGCTATTTGCACTACATAGCTTTCCAATTGTTATTCGTTATGCTTTCATCTAACATCGGAAATACTGTTAGATCTTTCTCGCTGTTTTGATATATAAATATACTCGAGAATGTTCACAGCCCAGTCGACAACTCCATCAAAAACAAAATTTACTTCACTGCAACCATTTCTTTGTATTTTGCCGTCTGACTGTTTACATTAACTGACACATGATTATTCTGAATCAAACGTTTATTGTCTTATCTCTGTAATTACATCACGATATATACAGTGCATCCAATTCGAGGAATCCCAATGAAGCTATGGAATACATTCACTTCACCTTCATTACTTGTTTTGTGTTGTTCATCAAAACTGAGCTAAATAAAAGACAATTCGCATAAGCAGCAATTATACTCTCCCCTCATATACGTATAATAGATTCACTTGTGTAGTGGATTAGTTTCTCATCGGGGACGGTGATATCAATTGGCGGAATCAGTATCATCTGCAACAGTCGTTGGTTGACGTCTTTTACCCTTCCCAACTTCTCTTGTTGTATAACTCACCTCACTATTATCCAACGACAAAACAGGTGGGGAAGGTTGCTGGAAAACAAGCGATAAATGTTAGCCACAGGTTATTCAATGCAAAAGGTGTATCATTAAACATAATGAATAAGTCAAAATCGTGGAATAGTAAAGAGAAACTCTGTGTCAAGGTTACCCAAAGCTCAATATGGTAAACAAGATCACAAGGAAATGATGATTAAATCAAATCAGTACTGATATTTCGAAATTACATTTCACGTTCAGTACAGAACTTAAGCTTGTTAATCAAGGGACAGTGTTGATGGCTGAGTCTTGAAACCTTAAAAAATCCGGATTTCGTGAATGCTCCATGACTCGTGCTGCACAATCTCCAAGCACCAAATACAGGTGTCACGAATGAGGATGTCAAAGCCATTCAAGATCACAAAGGAAGACATTCGTTCATCGCTCTGAAATCACTGAGGAGATAGATCTAAAACACCTGGAACAAGAAACATGGTCTGAATTAATACCCAACGCTAATGTCAAGTCACTGCGGAAACAAGCCTCACAGACTTCATACGTCACCAAAAGCATTTCCAACAAGTCTTCCGCTGACTGTCATCGACACCTGTCTCCGATAGATACTGAATATCAGATAGTCAGAAAGGATAAGCAATGGGGAACTTTTCCAGCGAACCAGTAAAAGAACTATCACTAGACTAACAAGCACGAGGAGATGGAGACGAATTTGACATATGTCAAGGAGACCTTCAAGTGTCCGCGGACAAAAGCAACCAGTTGGACGTCCGAGGGAGGGATTCACATAAAGATAAAATGAAAGCCAGGTAGCAGTTTTGGAGAAAACTAGAAAAGACGACAGAGAACAAAACTCAATGGAGATGTGACGCTGAAGCTCTCTACGTTGCACTCGTAATCGACGAAACAAACAATACCAATACTTGGTCAAATATGACTCATGAAGTTCAGCAAAAAGCTGTAATAAGTGCAAACAATGTTGGCTGATATAAGCAGCAGAAGAAACAACGGTACAAGCGTCAGAACAAAGTAACACCACCTCTCAACTATCCAAACTAATTTGAAGAAACACATCTACCAGATTATATTAAATGGAACTTTGATAACTTCTCAACACTATTTGGTTGATTTCCAGTTAGATCACAAACTGACATCCGTCTGAAAATCATCGAAAGCAGCGAAAGTTTGGAATCTTTCAGTTGTACACACGCATGACCCAACAGGCATACCTAAACAAGCACAAGGGTGAATGCTTAAAAATCAACATACAAGAACAACGACAATGACAACTTACAACAATATCACTAGATAGTTTAGATGAGGATGAATCAAGCGATGAAGTGATCGACGTTAAGGTAGGCGGATGATTGCTTGATGCATCCAGTGAATTATCCCCTGACTCATTTGACCAAGATAGCTATATATGGTTTAGCACAAAACAATCAATGTATTAACAGTTGTACAGTTAAAAGTTGTACATAGAAAAGATCAACAGTATAGTGTATACCTCATATGGAATTAATGCATTTCAACGAGAAGGTATATATCCCTAAAACACGGAATAAATATACAATGAATTCAGCACAAAAGACTACAAGTATACACTGATTGATCACCGGAGAGTAACCAGTGCCATTCATACAACATCTGGTCGCTATTGTTGATCACGGTTGAATTTCATCACAGTCAACTTTGCAAGCTGAGTGACCAGATGGAGACAATCATCACCTGACGATTGTTTCCAGCCATCTAATACCAATTCAGACTACGAGTATATTGGGAAACTTGTGTTCTCTCAGTCGGCTGGGCGAATTGGGAGGCTTTCATTGTCTCACTAGACAACATCTACACCACCGACTTCAATATGATTACAGGTATATTTGCAGCACACACACACACGAAATCAGCATCAGTATTCTCGGAACATTGAAAATATTTTGTCGAATAAATGTTCAGTCGGGATTCCTCTCCTCATACTTCCATGTTGGGAATTGCAGTAGACAAAATAATCATAACCGATCCACAATATCATTACATGAACACGACTGAAGCCAAACAGCATTTGTGAGGTACACATACACACACACACACACTAGATAAACACAGCTTGACTTCTAAACTCAAATTTGTTCATGTTTCAATTTTCCGTCTACGTGTGTACTTTATTCCACCACATTTCCCATCAGCAAGTGTTGTTTAGGAGTGTGGTCAGTTCTAACATAGAATTCATTGCGAAACTCTTTCAACATGTAGTATTTTCGTGCGCACGATAATTATGTGGTATGACACATGAAGTAGGCAAGCACAGAGTAGAGTATGCACGTCGCGTCTCAGATGATTTCCGACTTCAAGTTGCATCAGTTAGGTAACCACTGAACAGCTTTCTCTTCCCTATTTGGGACTATCCAGCAACACCACCTGGGATAAAACCTAAGACCCTCAAGGTTACTAGGTAAGACCCTCAATCGTTCAGGCGACGAGACGGACTTCAATGACCTGGGAATGTTAAATTCTGACAACTCACGATACGTACCCCAACCCTCATTAGTAACTGACTGACTGAGTCCGTACCGCCAAACAGTTCAGAACTAGAAGGAAACAAGTGTCCGGTACTTCCTGGTGCCCAATGATCTCCTATCCGATTTCACTCCATCATCAAACTTGAAATCAAATCAAATCTCCACAACACTTGACCAACACTTGACAATACCGACTCATTAAATCCTCTTTTCTCGGTAGCTAACAATCTGATGATGAATAGGTTAATATTTGATGGAGAGGGAAATAAATACACAAGTGAATTTTTACCTAGGATTCACATCACAGTAGCATCTCAACCTCAGAGAGGATTAGTATCTACACAGAATCAATATTTATCACTGAAATCCTCATTATCGAAACAGGGAATTATTAACATAACTGATTACACCCTCGTAGAGACAATGTAACTGCATACACAATTTCCTACTGTGAAATTCTTTCACAATTGCATTGTTTTGTTTACTCACTTCTACTTAACATTATTATTGGTTTCAACAGAATAAAGTAATTCACGAAAAGAATACACTGAACCATAATAATACATAGATGTTATTCAACAATACTCACTGAGGTATTCACGTTTGAATAGTTAGGCGTTGATGTGAAACTTGGCTCTGGAACGTCTATTTGCAATTGTTGAACCCATTGTTCATACAACTCGATAGCTATACGGTGTCTAATTGTATTACTTGGTCGTATCATTCTGGTCTCAGCTATTTGGTGCAATAAACGATGTATAAACTGTAGCTTAGATGTAACCAATCCTTTATTCAAATCACTCGCAACAGGATCTAGTAATTCATCGATCAATTCTTTTATTTGAGATTCCGACAATTGATTTCTACTCAGATGAAAGATTTACAAAAAATTACTTCGGGTAATTAGTGTGATCGAATAAGATACTGAAACATAAAAAGACTTTCATCGTCAAAATTAAAATACAATATAGAAGTGAACAATATTGTTTCCGTGGGTCATTGGGTTCCGTCCCGGATGCGGAGATCTAGAGGTGGGGACTTTAGTTGATGACCTGTAAGTCGTGAGTTCGACACCCCATAGTGTCAAAACTAAAACAAACCACCTGTCCACTACTTCCTGGTTTTCAATGGTTCTCCACCTGAAACCAGCACTCGAAAATGTTTTCTTCGCAAACATCTGTCTCCGGGGCTCAACTTCAATATTCATGGCTTTAAGTATATTTATAAGTACATATTACCATAGGGTCTCGAGTCATGGATGGGTGTTGTGTTTCGCCGAAGAGCACACTATCCACTTAACATCACCTGAACAACAAGGTGAATCTGCCGACTTCTCTTTAGGGGACTAGCGAGATTGTTCGGTTAATTAGGGAGGACTCGCTTGTATAAAAGCAGCATCGAGTGCTAGGGTAGAAGAATCCTTACTTGACTCTATCAAAGTGGATGTTCTTATTTGCGCTGTCCGGCTTAACAAATGATCCGTTGGAAACAGGAAATAGTGATACACATTGATGTCTTTTCTAAATGTACACTTACGACCCAAAACATCGCAGTTTTGGACAGTTGGCTGCAAAAACAGAAACGCTCAGATAGAGTCATTTTGGCAGTTGACTTCAATGCGCAACTATGGAAACTGCACCAGTCAGAAAAGTAACTTGACAGCAGCTATGGAGTCCCGCATCGACGAACCGACAACGTTGATTGTGTTTGACAGTTCTATATTTCATCAGAACCCAATTCAAACATACGGACACCCATTGCCTAACCCGGTGAAACCCATTATCAAATCAACAATGATCTCAAATAGATCACGCAGCTTCAAGCTATCGATTGAGAGGGTCGGTGTATAGGAAGGACTGTCGCTTCTCCTCGAAGACGGCTTTTCATTCTTATCACGCTCCAATCTGTCCACATATATTCCTGTCATTGATCTGACAGAAGAAACAAGTAACTTTGAAGCTGATACTCATCCAACTCGACGAGAACATAGTCTTTATTTAGGGAAGAAATGGACAAAGGCGTATCTCGGATTGACAGCAAGACTTACTCTGAGGAAACCTGTCTTAATGACCAAAAACCAAAGATTAGCAAATACCTGTGAATATCACAGCTTCATCCAAGATGACAGATGCAGTAAAAAAAGGTTCCAACAAGCTAGGTGCGAAAGCTGTTTAAGTGCAAGCCACAGGTGGCATATCGTTTGATTTATACCTCAGAATATCACTCCTGCTGAGATTCATAGGGAAATCAGAAGGATGAAAGATAATAAGAAACAGACCGTACCCATGTATCACATTCACCTGAATACACTGCTTCTACAGGTAAAAACAGAAGTCACATATTCGGTATTCAACCAATTCTCCGAAAAATAAACCGATAGGTCAAGATAATTCAGCTATCCGTTATTCACTGATGACTGTTGTTTTACAAAAACTTTACCACCGTACTATTCTACTGCTCGAAAGACCAGCTCTATGGTATGTGTGTGTTAGCAATCCAACTGAAAAAAACAACACGCAATCAACTATTTTCACACAAATACGAACTTCTGTATCAATTAAACACACTAAATATATCACTGTAGGCTCAAAATAGTAACTTCAAACTAGTAACAAAACTAGTAAAAAAAAAAGTGGAATTACATAGGCAAGATACAGACGACTGATACTCACTTGGAACGAGGGGAAAGCACCAAACGTTCATTCTTCGACATCAACGTATTCACAATTCGTTCACCACTACTTAAAAGTTGACTTGCCCAACTACGCCAATCACTATCATGAGAAGAAGTATTATCAACAGATGTTTCTATTGACGATGTATTCAAATCTTGCGATGAACAATTTGGTGTTGATTCTGAAGAAGATACAACAACAAGTTGAGTACCTTTTCGACTCAATCGAAGTGTAAGACTACGATATTTACGACCTCCTTCAGTGGACGAGTTATTCAACTGGCCAGATTCATCAGCCACAGGTTCAGAAGTCCTCGAAGTCAAATCAGGAGTATTTGGCTTATCCGAACCACTGTTAGATGAAGTAAAACATTGGAAACGAGAATTTAATCATACAGCCGAAAATAGCAATTATGCAACAAACAGTTAATACATATTTTCTATAAAAATGATATGCTATTGACAAAAAACAGACTGTGAGTAGAATTTCTTCTACCACAATCAGTATACAACAAAACAGACTATTCCTACTACTTCAATCATTAACTGGAAATAATGGAGAGACAGAGAGAGTGTGATTTGTAGACAAAGCAGTAGCGTGTATATATCCCAGAAATGAATATGTAAGAAAGTGACACTGAATGGTTAAAAAGAAAGTTCAACATGCCTATTCAGTACAGGTTTATTCATGTGCTTGTCGACCAGCTACATTTTTCATGCGTGAAATGCCTTCACTACTATTCAAAGAATTCACAACAAAGCAAACAAACTAGGGTTCGAATCCGGGGGAAGACGCCATTGCCTAATGGATATTCACTCGCAGTTGAATCCTGATTTAATAGTTCGAAGAAATTCAACAGCATGACAAGAGACATAAATCACGTTGAAGTGGATGAAAAGAGGGAACTTTTTCTCCACTCACATTTGGCTACTCGGTAAAACACTTGAGGAATTTAAACCCGAGATGAGTCTCGGGTTGCTCTACTCTTGTTCTGAGGAGACTGAGAATATTACCCAGAATGAAAGTCGAGTGCCTAGGCTAATCAGCTACATTTCCATAGTACTTTATTTCGACAACACGCTCAAAACATAGCAATTTGTGTTACATTTAAGTTCACGTGTTGATTGTTCATGCAGTCAGGTTTGTGCAGAGATGTCATCTGGGCTAAAGACAACCAGTGGTGTCTATCAGTGACGCATAATGCTTCATCGTAGACATACTCATGCATGTCAAACTGATCATCTTACACGACAGTGACAAACTTATCAAAACGGAAATGTCTTGCCTATTTTGCGTATGCAGATTATATATATCCTTCAGGTGAAGACGCTCACGAAATGCAGTCTTCCGAGCGTCCTCGACAGAAATGTGGATACGTTTAGCAAGCGGTTCGCACCTGTCAAACGTAAGATGATGGTTTATTTTCGAAGTTGTGATTTCGCCTTGTGTGAAGTTTTCTGCAGCCTGCTGGTTAGTCGTTTCGTCCAAAGCTGTGTCGTGCTGCTATTAATGCTGATTGTATCAGCTGCTTTTGCTTTGTCCAATGTTCGTTGGTAGAGACAAAGGAGTGTTCAGCTGATAACCAACCGCTACTTTCTAAATAGTACAAGTCAACAGCCTCTCGAATCGCATGTGAGTGTGCTGACGATACTGAGGAGAACAACGGTCCAGCAGGCAAGTGTAGGTGAATTAGTACGCTGTTTTGGTAGAATGCAAAATTAAATTGTAGCAAATCTGTTTGTGTTGAAGATACATTATCTGTGATGCTACTACTATATGATTGCTGGTGTTGATGTAATTAACTCCATTTGTGTACACAAGAATGTGGAATTATCTCAGGTGAGCATGTATCTCATTGGCTTGAACATCAAACTCCCAGCCAACAGGTTCGCGTTAGAATTTCGCTACATCTATTTCAGTCTGGTAACTAGATATTATCACCCCTCCTCAGACTGGAAGTCTTGCTAGTAGCCCTATATCGGATAAATGACGTTTCACCAACCATTTTATGAAATGTCACCTTTCTACTCAGGAAGATGCACGAGAATAACTACAACGAAAACTATTTCTAAACCACCGCTAAACGACCATTCTACAACTACATTCATATCAGCGTGTGTTTGTCCACTCAGATTAAATTTCTCCTATTAAGGGGGTTTAACAGTGCACTACGAATGTTCCATTTAACTGTTCAGATGTTTTATGTTTGTCTATGCTGAATGACAGAGTTTCAACACAAAGTTTCGCTCAGAAATAATGTGACAGTTCAAGTCGCCATACTTCATGTAGTAGCACGCAGTCTGAGAAGAGATAGAAGACAGAAATCCAAAAGAACTATGAATAGCAGAAATTAACGGGAGAAAGAATGAATGAAATTGAAAGCCTGTTGAACAACCACTTGCAATTTAGTGTTGTTGGTAATGTGCCATATCTATTGAGTCCGAGCTAGTGATACTACCTGACTACTCAAACCTTCGTATATGGAGCGTACGAGTAAAACAAAATTTACATGGAGATACATGAGGATTTAATGGGATTGGAAGATTACAAAGAGTGAATATGTCTGCGTCACTGAGAAGAATTTTGAGCCATATCTGGAAAAGTCTCCAACCACTGCCTTATGGCATCCTAAGGCAATCTACACTCCCTTACACAAAACAGTGACCTCCACTGCTTTTACTAACTAATGCAAACAAAGTAGGAGAAAAAGAATGATTTATAAGAGATTGTCTTCATAGAATCAAGAAAGCAATAAATGTATGAAGAATGATTGTTTACTTAGCGCATACTTATGAATTTACGTGTCTGTTGAAGAAACTAATAGAATAGGAAATCCTAGTAAAGTAGTTCTGTCCAAGTTTCGCCCGAAACGGCTATATAAAAAAAGTAATTATAAGTTTCGAAACCGTAGATGTTGCAAATTCTCTGGAATAATTTGAGCGCCCAGTCCAATTGAATCATTATATATTATTTAAAGTATAATAAGTAATACTTGGAAAATTATACGCTAATAAAGTTCTATAGGAAAATAGAAATATTAATAGTGATTTACATAATAATAATTGAGAGATTATGATAAATTATATTTTTACGCTAACTTACGTTTTGCTCGACTCATGCTCCACATCAGTAGGCACGAGGTTCGTTGATGTATCACTAGACTCAGCGTTAGTTACAGTATTTTCAAAGATTTCAGTTTCAGCAGCTACTTTTGGAGAGTTCACATCTGTCGCTGAAACTTCTTCCCCTTCGAAATCTTTCCTACTTTCAATTTGAGGATGATTAATAGCGACAGGTGAAACTTCAACAAAGCTTTCAATAGCCGTTTCTACAAGTGATCTTTGACTTGTTTCATTGCTTTCTATGTCCTCTTCAATCACAGTGTCGATAACGTCAGTGGTATTGACAATTGTCGGACTAGGGGAAACTGAGGAAAGCTTATCTGAAGCCTCACATTCAACTTCAGCTACAGCTTCAGTAGACAGAGACGAGGCAACATCTGATGCAATGCACTTATCATCTTCAGAATTCGAAAGATACGCCTCATTCTCATCAATCGTTTCTGTGACTTGTCTATCGTTATCTAAAGCACAGTATGTAGCAGAATCGTCAATCGGAACAGTATTGTCTGATTTATCGTCTTCTTCAACCAGAAAATCTTCAAAATCAGACGCATACATAGCGATTGTGGATGGTGTTGACGAAGGCGTGTCTGTCTGCATGTCAGTTGATGTCTCTTCATACAGGGAACTCTCATCATCCGGTTTATTGTCGCCATCATCATCATCATCACTAGAATTATTAGCAATTTCTTGTTTTTGGAACACAGTATTTCTAATCATATTACTGTCTTGCTTTTGGTGAGGTATCATGGAACCCGATAGCTTCGATTTTCGAGTGACACCTAAAATATGGAATAGGAAAGTAAATGAAATGCTTTGGAGACTGATAACTACCTACAATATGTAATACAATGTTAACAGGTCTGTGTACAGACAGTGAATCGATGTCAATCATAACTGAACACAATGTGTGTTCTCAGAGACGACCAAATAGTCTATGTGTGAAACTTCTCAAATAAGTGTCAACGTTATATATTCAGAATGACCATTTCAAAGCAGTATATAGTGGTTCCTTTATGTGCATATCATAAGGGTGGCAAAATAAGTGGAAAAGTGGGGACTTATCAATGAATAATAACGAGTTATCGCAAACCCAATTTCTGGTAGAAAAGACACGGGAAAAACGAGAAATATTGAAATGGCATAGAACACTCATCCAAAGGAACCAGCTACCAGACACAAGGTGAGGTCGGATTCGAGGAAGTGACTGGAGACTCCACGGCAGAATGAAAGCGTTTCAACGACCTATTTTGACACTGCTGCAGTTCACATTCCTAAGAAGAGATTACCCTGTGTGTACGACAAAGCATTACATCTTCATCAGTTGCACTACGGATGCCGTTCACCGTCATCCTCAGGAAAATATGCAAACACTCCACGAACCAAGTAGCAAATAGTGAATGTCGACCATCCACGCAGCTTCTCCGACGTTATATCAAATAAATTTAGCTAATATGGAATTCATCTCACCAAGTTATTTCGTAGAATATTATATAAGTACAGAATCCAAACCCGTCCTTTACATAGATATTTGTATTCGGTAATTCTGGTTGATTTAACCCAAATGAACAATAACTCAATTCGTCGAAGGCTAATCTCTTTCTTTTATCCCGACCATTCAATTTCTCTCACTTCTGACAGAAAAGTAACCAATATTGATTGTAATAAAATGCACCATGGAAGAAGTTACATGATGTCTGATATATGACGGCTTTCTTTTACTAAATGTAATACTCTATACACAACACACTTACAAACATCGTCTAGTTTATTAGTCGGTAGTAAGACCCGAGTATAGGGGAAGTTAGAAGCCATATTCTCTTGTCCGTAATCAAGAAATGGCAAAAAGAAATACTCTATGCTTAACACAAACCGTTACGTTCACAGAGAATAGTGGAAGACTACAAGCTATTTACTCAACGATGGTTTGTGTTTATGGTAGGTCGTGTTTATGCTTGAAACAAATAGAAAGTAAACTGACTAATAAATGTAGAACTTTGCAAACAAGTGCATAAACCCAAGGTGTCAAACTCTCAGCAACGACAAATAAAACTAGAGAAAAGAAATGCAGTGAGAGTAAAATAAGCTAAAATGTACGCCGTGTTCAATGAAGATCATTAGGAACTGGAAGACACACACACAAACATCTGTGTATAGCAAAATTTGAACCGAAAAAAAAAATTTTAATAGTCATAGAAAATTTTCTCATAAAAGCGAAACATCAACATGAATGGTCCAGCCTTTGAAAAGAAGACAGGAGTAAGACAAGACTGCCTACTATGACCGATGACATTTCTTGATTGAGGTGAACAGGGTCTTGCAGCAGTCTATGGTGATCAAGTCGACCGGAATAGGTTGGACTGACAAAAAGGTACAGGGAAACCTAAACTTCGCGAATGATTTATGTCCAGTGTCTAACAAACTCGAAGATCTCTAAGCAAAAACGAACATGTAGGCAGAAAAGGTAGTGAAGACAAGACTTAAAGCGAACATAGAGAAAACAGATGTGATGAAGACACATAACCAACAACAAAAAGCATCAAATCACAATCGAGGAACACTGACAACGAGCCAATCAAGAACCTATCGCCTAAAAATATTCAGAAGGAAAAGGAGATGTATTGCATATGCGCTGAGGAAACCGCTGAGTGACATCACATGCCAGGCCATCCTCCGAGTGGAACCTGAATGGAAAAGGGTCGGGTATTCTAGAGTGACATGGAGATTATGGGAACAGAAAATGAAAAGTTATAGGCAATCATGGAGCTAACTAAAAGAGACTGTAGAAAACACAGTAAAGTGGTGATGTGGTGTTTAGGCCCAATGTTCCACTCGGAATAATGGTAATAATAATAGTTTTATGAGAAGGGTCAAGATGATGAACTTACCTCCATACACACGATTTGCTTTTGATGCAGAAGTTGAAGCAATAGAATTTCGATATTGATATTTATGTGAGGCATTGTCAGATAAATTTTTATGTTCATTAGGTTGCTTACGGCATTTTTTATTTTGATTAGATTTTTCGAAATTATGCGTAAATTTGCTCTTGTTTGCTCTTGACAAATACCTTTGTTTTGTTGCTTCAGCAGCACGTGAAGCAGCTGTAGCATGACCCGAATCGTGTTTACCAGACTTAAAATTCATAGATTTCTTAGCCGAATGTCTGGAACCCACTACAGATTCTCGACGTGATGATGATGCTTCATCCAGTACACGGGAGGATTTAACAGGACCGGATGCAGTGGACGGACGAGATCTACTTGTCACACTTCCAAAGGCCTTACAACTGTTTATCGGACCAGGAGCACAGTACCATGTTGAATCAGGAATGCGATAAAAATCTTGTATTTCCCTCACTAATCCGAGAAGGTTCTCAGCACCCTGTGGACTACTTTCAGCAGATACGTTTCCCGAATCTCCCTTATCTGAGCATTTTACCTCTGGTTGGCGTTCTAATTCATTGGTAGTTTTATCTCCAGCAGAAGTCGCAGTTTTCGAAGGACTGTCAATTTGAGAAGTATTCTTTCCAGGTGTAACATTTTCTGGTTTGTTTTTTGATTCAGTGAAAGACTTGATTTGCTCCAACAAAATGGGCAACTGACTGTCGTACATGCCAGATTCCACGTTCGAAATAATACTTTTCAATGAACTAGAAGGAAAAATACGGGTTTTCATAATAATAGTGATAAATAATAGTTTGTTATTCTAGCTTCTCAGACAGAGAAACTCACTTCATAATGCAAACAATGAAACCTACGAGTATTGTGGAATGATTTGACAGGCAATTAAATATGCATTAGTTTACATCACAATCGAATATCATGATGTGAACCCTGTGAATTATGTCCCAGGTTACAATACCACCTTCTCTGCAGGACAGATGACCGGCGACGTATAAACTCGTAATTTAATAGTTCAAAATCAAACATATGCATTACTAACTGGCTCACAGGTCGACTGTGTGACGTACATAATATAATAGGAAGAATCACCTACAACAGAAATGACAAGTATAAATCAACTTCTTTTCAAGAGGAAAGCAACAACTGGTAATCGTGAGACTGTATCGAACATACAATGGGTGGCTGGAAAACAAATTTATTTACCTGTAGTACTTCTGTTCACGTTGTATACGCGACCTTAATTCTTCTGCTCGTTCAGCACTCAAACGCTTCACAACACGCTCAGCTAAACTCAGCTGACTTGACTGAGAGTCACTCCCTGGCATATTTTGTCGCTTGACCAATTCAATTGAATCTAGAAGTAAGGCGTACTGCTTCGCACATGCTCTAGGGGAACACCATGTGGGTGGCCGACCTGGTTTAGAAAATGGCATCAGACGACGACTGGTAGATGACCAGGTTCCCTGCTGATTATCTACGTCTAAAAGAGCTGTAGCCAATGCCAACCGCTCACGCAAAGGCCATACACCTTGACCATATCCAGGTCCAAGAAGTTGCTCTGATGGAACAGGCGTGAGTGGCTCTTTATCCATGAACTATCTACAAATCAACAAGGAAATGTAAAAGCGAAATAATTAGGCAAAAGGTAACAATAAATTTGCGGTAAAATAAGAGTAAGACATACACTTACACTTAAGAAAATCATAACCATAGCCATAGCGAATGTATCTGACAGTTACCATGCATCATTTTAATAGATACAGTACCATCTGTAGAAACTGAAAGCATGAATACCGACTCTACATATACGAATTACTGGGACTACAATTTGAATCTCTGCAAACAATCACAAACCACAACTCTATTGAAACAAGTGCCACCCAAAGGCTGTGTCATCCACAAGCTAGCTTTATCAACACAGTTTCTCGGAGAAAATTTAACTTCCAGATGAATATCTAGGTAGGGGTCAGCCCCAAGACAAGCATGAGAACTTATCTGAATTCATTCTAAGAGGGTTATTCTCCGTGAAGAAGAAGATTAATGTGAAAGTGGTCAAATATAAGGGATTGGAATACTTTCCCACTGACTGATTACACAGAGTATGCGAAACAGTTCAGAAACACTTCAGAAACTGTTGGCTCTGTGTGCAAGAAGAAAAATGCTTGGAAAACAGAAACCAGTCGGTTCACTGTGATGTAAGAATTGTCATTTCACATCCTTCAATCACTGCAAGCTCACAGTTAATTACGCATAGCAAATAAACTCCCCATTGTTGTCAGAACAGACGAAAACACCACCATGGATAAACCACTGTCATCACTTCGGCTTCAAACTTTTACAAGTTTACAGTGTGGGGTCGCTAGCCCTTCACTTAACCAAATGGTAAACTAGGCGAGGACTACGAGTGTCTAGAGTGGGAATCGATTACGGACCTCATTAAACAGACAACACAAATTCTAATTAGTCAATGGAAATCAAATGCAAGCAAAGATACGACGACGATCAAAATAAGACAAGCAATACAGACAACCAGCAAAAGCACAGATATAACGAAAATCTATTGTTATAAAGAATAATACTGCTGGCATGTATTGTGTTTATTATACACATTTACAGAGTTAAACACAAATGAATAATACTTTAACGGTGTAAAAATCCGACACACACAAGGATACTTGTGAGCACAATAAGAAATAAATCTGGAGAGTAAAAACACCAGGAAAATGAATATTAACAACATTTACAGCTTAAAAAATAAATTCTGTACAATAATTGTTTTACGTAAAAGTGTAACATCAAATGATGGAATGGATTCACGTGGCCAATGAATGCAGAACAATAAATAATAATCATAGTTGTAAATGCCTGAGCTAATCTGGATCTTTTAAAAATTTACAACGCTCAATTACTTCCGTCCAGCCAAAACGATTAACAAGTTCATCAACTGCTTCTGCGTCTTCTGAACTCAAAGATATGTCATCATCAAGTAACCAAAGAGGTGGACTAAATTCATCAGACGATGATGGCTGACGACGCTTTCCAGTTGTTAAAAAATTGTACGCTTCAATAACAGAACCACTGGTCATGGTAACAAGGAGCGTAGCTTGTAACGGTGTTGTTATGTATGGGGAACAATTTATTAACTGTGAAATCCATTCTGGATTACTTGGTGAACGCAATGCAACAGATGAATCTGATGTAAGAATCGATGAATCAAGCTAAATAATTATAAGAGAATAAAAAGAAATGACAATATTTAATTACCACATACAAAACAGATAAGAAACAAATGGTCAAATAAGAAAATAGTAATGCAGCGAACACGAATTCTCTTAAAACCAATCTCACAATTTGCAAACTACACACATTTCGAGAGGAATAGACGTCAGTCTTATTTGAAAATTATAGTAGTCCAGACCACAGTATGTGATCTAATTGGTACAACAGATGGCAATCAAGTAAACAAGCTCTACTGGCTAAGTCAAGTCCGGCTACACTATTGATCAGCTTGACTCTAGGGGTTTGGATCAATCTGATCTGATTAACAAGCACTAATTGTTGAGGTAAACAGTATCCAACTACTCATATCACTCTATCAGTAATACAGAATACCACATATGTTTTTAGCGTGACTGTTCACAACCAAAAAAATGAGGATGAAGAATGATTAGGGATCACTTTATCTTCAAGCTTCACCTTTAACAATCAACGAAGGAAGAGAAATACAACAGGTAGAGTATTAGAGATGATTTCGGCCATAGATCATACACTCTTAACGAAGAAGACTGTGGATACCAAGTATGCGTAGCGAAACAGTTCTTAAATCTTAATATACCTCAGATGGACACACTTCTATTTTCTCGATGTTGTAGATAAAGTGCAGTCGTGGAACTGGCCAAAGACGATATCAGAAAACTGGATGAGATGGAGATGTTCTGTGGAAGTCCTGTGTTCCCCTAGGTTTCCTGGCTGGCTGGCAACTCGAACTGCTGCACTTCGGTGCCAAGTTCTATGTTGAATCCAGCCAGCCAGGAAACCTAGGGGAACACAGGACTTCCACAGAACATCTCCATCTCATCCAGTTTTCTGATATCGTCTTTGGCCAGTTCCATGACTGCGCATAAGTTCTTGCCTCCTCCTTACACCATCTCCTGCATGCCACCATATCTACATTCCCCTCGACGGCATTGTCTGTTAGCCTTACTACTAATATCTCATCCCACCCGCTTATTATTACTATTGATTCATCTACAACTATCTTTTGTCTGTACCATTATCATAACTCACTATTATTATCATCATTATTATTCAGTTTTCAATTCCACATAACATTCTATTACCTGAATCAGTATCTAGAAAACAAAGCTCATTTATAAAAAAATTTCAAAAATGTGAAAAGACTTAGAACTTACAGATACTGGAATATTATTAGGGCATAAAGCATATGAAGTACTCGGTACCGGTGATACTGACAACTTAGATGATAACGAACTACTCGATGTAGCCATCAAGCCAGTTGATTTCAGCTGAGGACTTCCATCTCTTACAACAGTCGATCGTGGCACTGGACGACGCTTACAGCATTTTATCGGAGTTCCAGGGGAATTTGAGGTAGAAACACTAAATGAGGGAGATGGTGAACTGAGCGCTAGGATAAGAAAAGTAACACAAAAAGTGACAAACACAAATCCGTTTAGTTGGAATATTGGGAACTTATATGCACTTTCACAACACCTTACAACTGCTAACTAGGCAACTGATACGCGTATATTAAGGGAACAACAAGAGTAAAATGTTTACACATATTTCAAAATGACTATGTACTTATACACTTGGTATTTCAAACAGAGAATACAGGTTTCAATGTAATGGTTAATACTTGAAGGTGAAATGAAAATCTGTGTTGCGACAGAACTCGAATCAGCTGACCTACGAGAACGTCAAACAAGTAAATCAGAGCCCTCTGATTCATCCATTATAATTGTAAGCGGTAGTCTATTAGTCATAAAAGCTATCCCGAAAAGTCTCAACATTAACAATGATTTTGTTGAAATCTGACACAAAATTCTTGCTTATTTTCAACGTCATCCGAATAAGCAGTTTCACAATAAGCGACAACCATTTTTTTTGTGAATGAAATTGCATACAAATTTTTAAGAAACGAGATAGTAACACATTAAATAATAAAGAATAACCATGTTGTACTTTGATATTCAATCGAAATTTATGTAATGATTTCAATATGACACGAAAGCCCTAGTAATTCATGATTTATCAAGACTGTGCTGTTCACCCCTCTGCCAGCACTCACACAACTACCCAGATACACAAACATATGGACAACTTCAGGCGGTCCACCTGCAAGAGTGAGTGCAGGCTCCTACCAATCTTGTAATAGTACTTTGCACTTAGACGGTGCAAAGCACATACCATGCTTACAGACACTGATCGCCAACTGATTAAGTGCGATTTGGGCAGCCTGCATGATATGGCACAGTAAGACGATATCGTCTGAATACTCGAGGTCGAAAAGTCTATCTTCAGGGGCAGATCTACACCACCTTCACGCACATCCTTCAGAGCTGACTCCAGAATGTCATCGATGGCAAAGTTAAAGAAAAATAGGGAGATTGGGCAACCTCGCCTAAACCCAAAAAGCAAATGAATGCTTTGCAATTCGGTTTATGGAGTAGAAGCCATATTGTCAATAAATTTATAGTGATCTGATCTCCAGAAAGAGTGGAACTTCAATAGCTTCCAGACGTGAGGTAGAACGCTTTACGAGACGCTTCAATTGGTCTGCAGACAAATTCGTGATATGTATTCAGTTGCAACGCAGTGAATATAAACAAACGATAACTAAGTTCCCAACTATCTACAGCCTATTGCTCATAAACCCAAATTAATACATTACTTTAAAATAAATGCTTATGGCAATCATCCGTATTTCAAGACAAATGAACCCAGAGTGTAATATCAGCAATGTAGTGGATATATGGCTCATTGGCTGAAGCACACACTTTTCAACCGATGGGTCATTGGTTGCAGTGTCAATCTACCTAATTCAGCCTGGGAAACTTGGTAGTATCGCCAGCCCCTATTCGATAAGTGTAACTCTTAGCCACATGCAAGATTAATCTATTTAGGGTAATCCATACTGAACAAACAATGTAAAAATTATCAAGTAAAATTGTTGCTATGATATAAAAACCCACCTTCTGCAACACTGTTCGTTAACAAATTTCTTGATTCCGTCTGCTGGACAGTTTCTTCAATTGGAGAAGTCTGTTTGTCACGAATCTTATGTGATTGATGACATGATGACTGAAGGTCATTCACACCATCTGCAACATTTGGATTTGACTCATCTGATGTTATAGTAGTACATTCATCAATAGAGTACGATGAATGGCAGATATCCTCACTGCTATTCTCCAAATTACTATTCGTTCGTTTAGAAGAACCAAAGAAAATTTCATTCAGTTTCACTTGTTCACTCTGAGTGAGTTTTGTCACTAATCGAGCATAAGTTCCATTTACTAAATGATGTCGGAATCGATTACGCATAGACTCAGAAGAGTGATTGGTTACACCTTCTTTGGCCATCTTTTTCCAAAGAGCTCGACTTTTTACTTGTCTGTATAAAGATTTAAAAAAAAAATTATATTTATTATTCAAACGGTACCTTGTATTTCACAGCAGTTAAAAGAGGATAACTGATCGCTACTGTCCAACTCCGAGTGAAGGTATGTTGATCCTCATGACTGAATTTCCCAATTTTCTATCACAATTGTTGGTATTAATATCACCTGATCAATTATTTTGAAAAACTGTACGTTAATGCAAGTATCTCAGGTTAGGTATTGGTAATTTTTATCCCAGGATTAATTTACTATATTTGCAGTTATATGACATAATGAATTTGAGTGAAAATGGCTGTTTATTCAACTAATACTACAAATTAAGAAAGTGTAGTACTTCTACAAAATGTGCTTTGGTTGTCAGCCTAAATAAACTATACACTTCGATGTCATAAGATACTTAGGTGGGTTTAAGTAAACCGTATATAAACAATTTTTTAGTAGTTAAGATGAGGTCTATAAATCCTAGTAGAAGAGAGTTATTCTGACTGTTACTCGAAACAGATTTCAATGTTCTAAGACTGTGAGACACACTTATATTGTGAAAGCTTTTAATGCCCAAGCTCATATATATATATATATATATATATATATGTATATATAATGCCAACAAAAATACATTGGAATATTTGTGACTGATTAGTGAAATAACTACAATGAATCGATCATGGAAAACAACAGGTACGAATGTTTTACAAGTCAAGCCAATATGGACGAGGGAGAATAAACAACCAGTTAACAGAGAATGGAGCTTGAAAATGTTATAAATTGCACACTGAATAATAATGACGATAAAGTGGGTTAAGATAATGGAACTGACGAAATATAGTTTTAAATGAGTCAAGAATGATAGTAAAAAAGATGGCTGCGCTTCCAAACCTCCCCTAGTTTACTAGTCCGTTCTGAGCACGGAAAAAGAAGGAAAGTTGGTCGTGGGACTGGCGATTGTCAAAGAAACGAGAAGACACAGTATAGAAGTGATAAGAATCTGTGAGGGCAGAGAGAATGAAAGTGGACTCTTGAAATTGTTAACTTGATAGGCTACTGGACACTGAAGTTGACGTCACATCGAATAATTGTAAAGCCTTTTGTTGGGCACTTTCACCTCATATGGAAATCTATAATTATTTAAAATCTCACAAAAAGGGTGTATAGTTCTCCAGAGTTTTAGCTTCAAGCTACTGGGGTCCAATTTAGTAAAACTCCAAGCAATAATCCCCCTCGCTATCAGATATAATCTAAAAGTTAATTGGGTTTTCGAGGATGTCCAGTAATGAAGTGTACATTTATGGGTAAATTTTCTATTTAGATTAAGATGATCAGTAGTGTGCTTTGGTGATCACTTTCAACTTCAAGTAAAGCCCATTCGAGAACAAAATCAAACATCAGCAATAAAAATAAACAAACATGAACGAACATCCAAAACTGACATATGAAAGCTAAATAAAATTCTTTAAAAACTGGAATATTTCCAGAAAGGTTTATCTAGCTTTGCCAAATATGTTCTGCATACCTCCAAAGATTTCTTTCCACTAAATAATTCATGATTGCTTCATCTTCTACTAAGGTGTACTGTTTCCTAGTAAATCGAGAAAATCCACTTTTACAACTCGATGTCTCGTGTCCATTATTATTATTATTATTATTATTGTTCTTGTTTTCAGAATTGTCATGATTGTTATCAGAATTATGAGATTTATTGAATAAAGGATGCAAAACTTGTCGAATGTGACTGCGTATTGACTCAGCGGAGTGATTTGTTATTCTAACAGCTTCTAAATGCGCATAAGTTGATCGTTTATTTAGCGACCTGAGATAAAAGTGAAAAACAGTATAACAAGACTACATGTAATTAAAAAGAAGTGAAATTTAGAATCTGAAACTTTCAGAGTTGACAAAATGAGTTAAAAACAACTAACTTAGCAAGAATTAACAATTTGTATGTCAGCTTCTAGAAAGAAACCGTATATAAATGCAGTCAGTAATAATCCCTACTCAGATACAAGTGAAGGATACATTAGTGTAACTGAAGGCAGCAATTTCGTTCAAAGTATAGTCAGAAGCATAAATTGCTTTTGAACAGAAGCCTTCATTTATTTGAATTTCATCCCCAACAAAGACACAGTTATAACCTGATGACTAATATATGATAGTTTTCATCATACTACGTGTCACTCTGTCCGTGTGGAATGAAAGTATTCCCACATAAAGATGTAGTATTGACATGTCAGTGATAAATATCCATACCCATTCCACAACTACCGACTTCAATGTACAAATGACGGTGGTCATTTCGGCGAATTCAAAGAGTACATAAGCAAAAGGTAAACATTTGAAAAGATTTAGAGCTCACCGAGTGTCACCTGATTTTCACCTTGCATGTGATTAACACACGGATAGAAAATCTACGGAATATTTTATACTCAGTTATAATGAAACAAGAACCCGCATGGTTGCTTTTGCGACAGACGATAACACTCCCAAATATGAAACAATTGAAATTCGAATTAATGGTTTGAAATAATTCAAATAGAAGACGTTGGTTTACATCTCTGGAATACCAACTTATCAGGGAAAATGCTGATTCAATCACAATCCGTTAGAAATCAAAGTAGTGAACCTTAATAAACTCAACATTTTAAACTTTATAGCTTCAACACGTACTGGTTCTAGTAATTACACTGAACAGCACACACTGAATTTGAACAATCCAGTACAGGTTTCTACAAAAAGCTATAGGCATCAATTGACATGTGAGAAACTGAAGTACTACCAAGTGATCTACGTTTAAGTGGACTGAAGTCGGAATACAACAAATCTTATATGAAAGTCGATTATCAAGTCCACAGGGCGACCGACCGAAAGCTGCTACCTTGACGTGGTGGTCGGGCTTGAACACCGCAATGACCCAACAAGCTATACTGGCTGGAACTTATGTTCCTGCAGGTCCTACCATGCCAGAAAGGTTGTTTGGATAGCGGTTAGACTAAAAGCAGTTACCCAGTCCAATCCTATGACTTCAAATAAATCACAAAATATCATGCCGGATCGGTCGGGGCCCGGATTAACAACGACCGCGCTTTCTGCTGCCGTGTCACAAGGCAGAAGTGATAAATACGCTACTGAGACACACCAAATAAAAAAGAACAAACAAAAAGAACAAACAGGGCGAAATATCCAACAAAATACTCTAAAATCTTTTGATGCCTACACCAACAAGAATTATTTTGTAAATAAGTTGTTATGTTTGTCAAAATTTTACAATGACAGTACATAAATTAATGGAAAATGAGTATTCAGACATCCACTATGTTCGGCTTGTTAAGAAAGGATATGGTAAGCAAAAGAAATGCACAACTACAGTTTCTAACTTTTTATGTGTCTTGTGACATCTAACAATAATTGAGGGCATGTTGATAGACAAAAAACCACCCTATTCGAACTGGAAAACAATAGCAACACATTTTTCAAATATTTCACGTACTTCTGGACTAAGAAATAGATGTAAGGTTAGCTCTCAACGATAGCTAGATCATGTTTGCAGTATCTCAGTAGGATATGTCAACATATTTAAGCGTTAATCTCCATGACTTATAAGGGTCCCTACATTCACAAAAAAGGTGAATACTCCACCTTTATTATATTTAACATCATCTTAGATATCATTAAGGCTGAAACAAATCCATTGAAACTATCGCTCATACTGGATACCGTTTAGGACACAACTTATTACCTTTATTCATACCAACCTAACTTTACACACAGAGAGTTATAACCGCTTCACATTAGAAAATTAGCATAGTGACAGAGACCACATAACTAATCGATTCTCGAATTTGTGTAAATACCTCAGCAGGGATAAAAGATTGTGTTCAGTATTTGAAAATGCTCGATTGTCATACGTAGCGAATTAACTAGAATTTCGAAATCACATTGTCAAGGTTTCACAAGCTACATTGGCTTTCTGAAAATTCAATAATAAAATACAGGTTACTGCCGGAGTCTTTGTAGACACAGTATAATATTACTCATGTTCCATAATCCTAATGGGCATATGAAAATACAAAAATGAATGAATTAACAACCATATTTCACTGTCACACTTACGGTAAAAGATTATTGTCTTGGATGTACTTCAACAAAGTCAGACTCTCCTTTTTTGTAAACGGTTTACGTGAACGCACAGATGGATTAGAAAACTCTGTATCTATCCAACAGGGATCGTCGATATCGACGGATAAAATTTCAGAAACCTGAGTTCCCGGCTTGACCTATTAAATATCAAGAAAAAAAACCAAACACTCGGTTTAGCCGTAAAATATACATACATATCAAATACTAAATTACTTCCCGTTCAGCGAGTGTTTGTTAGGTGCAGCTACTTAAGAAGAAACTCTGTTTGTGATGAGTTATGCCGAAAATTAGAAATTTTATAGCATGAAGTTTAGCTTTCGATATAAGAATAGAACTTGTGCACTGTGGTAGAGTATAATCCCATTGTGGGTAAAATTTATTTTGATAAAGTCTCAAAGTTAAACAGTAATTTTTATAGTAATATTTACCGATCCATGATTTTCACCCTTTCGATAACCTCATGTATTTATTGTGGAAACCAAATAATTTATACACTCTACAGAAACTTTGACGAATTACAAACCTTCTTTTTAATGACTAATCCGCCAATGGAAAAGGGGAAATCTTAGTGAAGCAAATAACAATAACGCCTCATGCTGTGCAACGGTACATAGCGTCAGACATTTACAGTTCTCACTAACTTCAAAAAGCTGGGCGTCAGCGAGTCTCATACCAGAGGTACAATAACCTGTTTTACATAAATATAGGGTATCACATCACTTAAAAACATTTCTAGGTGATATCTAGACATCACCTAGATATAACCTGACAGAAAGAATACAGGTGGACACATGCTTACGTGATATTTTCCCATCGGCAAGCGAGATTTGCTCTGAATACAGTCCCATATGTACTTGTAATGTATATATTTCTCAGAATCAGTAGTTATCCCCGGAGTAGCTAAATAAATGCTGTTTGCCTGTTCTTTGTCAGACACCGTACCACCATGAGCCACGATTGCTAGTTTTAAACTTGGTACAGAATCACAAGCCTTGACGTAGAACGACAGTTGGCTACCATTAGGAAGTACAAACAGTTGCATTTGAGTAGCCGCTATGCGCAAGGCACACGACAGATCGATAGAATCAATGACTGCTTTGTGCAGAGGCTGAGCACTTCAAGGTCGCTCTCGCACACTGTGATTCGTAGATTCAAATTCGCCTAGTTGTTGCGTCATTACGGAATTTATCTACTGAAACAGTCATGAAAATGGTATTGTTAGTGATACCTGACGAAGTGGTCTATGAATTCAACCGAATTTTAAAGTGTAAATGTTTCAACACCTTTGACGAGTTTCAAGAGGTCTTCAACAAGTTTAGACATACTCATTAGGTTGTGAAAAGCATTCAGATTGACAACATCCTCAGGCATGAACAGGTAAGTTATGCGTGTACTGTCGGTCTGAAACGAAGAAGTCGGTCAGAAGAAGTCAAATCTGAAACAGCGTAAATTTATATTAGTTTAGCTAATCCTTGTTTTCTCATTTCTAAGTTCATGGGTGCCTAGTAGTGGGTAACATAAGAAAAGCACATGATCATCTGTGTACTGAAAACTCAAATGGTTGACAATAGTAGATGCAACCTAACGGGGGTTATAGTAAATGGTATGGTCGGATACATGATTTCAGTTGCTGAACTAAGAAATGCGATTTTCCTGGAGTTCCAAGAAACTGCAAACAGCATCTCAGCACCAGAGAACACTGTAAGCGAAGTTCACCATGAAGGGGGTGCAGACACTGATCTCGATTGTACCATCAAAAACTGCAGCAGCTCTGAGAAGCAGCTGCAGGCAGATGATCAGTGGGTAACGAAAATAAGCAATCGAAAGAAACATAGTAATACTGATGGTAAGCAAACGTCTGTTACCTGTAACCAGGCTGCATCAGTAGTGGTGAGAAAAGACGTAGCCACTGCTAAACACGACAAGCTCTCCTTAGACTCTAACATAATTGTTGGAAATTTAGAAGAGTCCAAAGAATCTGATCCCGTAAAAAGGCACGATCACGACCTTAAATTAGTGAGTAGTATTATAAGGAAGATGCTCCCAGCGAATTTCCCTGGAGTATCGATTAAAAAGCTGATTAGAATAGGCAAAAGAGATGATGAATGTTCTAATCAACGTAGGTTGCTTAAAGTAGTCTTAGGTTCTCCTGATGAACGGAATCATCTACTGGCTAATGTACACAACCTTTCCGGGTCAGGAATTTCAGTCAGACCTGATTTATCTCTTGAAGACAGACTTAAACGAACGTATGCTTCTAAGACCTGTGTGGAGGTAGTGTACACTAATATACGTAGTATCGGGAACAAATTTCATGAGCTAGGTGTATTAGTGGAAGACCTTAGCCCAAATATTGTGGCCATTACTGAAACATGGCTGGTTTCTGGATTAGATGACACACCTGAGCTATGCGGATTTAGTTGCTTGCGCAGCGACAGGGTTAAGGATCATAGAGGTGGCGGGGTTGCTCTGTACATCAACAACTCCCTACATGTTCGTTCCGTGAAATCTGAAGCGCACGACAGTGGGACAAGTGAGGTAATTAGCTGTGAAGTAAGCTTTGCAACTGGCACTTTACTCATTGGTGTTCTGTATGGAAGTCCCTTTTGTCAGTGTGATGATTTTATTTTAGATCACCTCAAACAATGGAGTAAACACAGTAGCTGTCTTATTCTAGGTGACTTTAATGCACATCATATAGACTGGGTAGCTGGCACATCTGCAGGATCCACTAATAAGTTTGACAGCCGGTTACTCCTGACTACCATGGAAAATGCCCTGACACAACATGTCTTAGGTAGTACAAGATTCGGTTCTAGCCAAGGATCTTCCTTGCTGGACTTAGTGCTTACTCATGACAACGACGACGTGGATGGTCTAGTTATTCATCCACCTCTAGCAAACAGTGATCATGGGGTGCTAGATTTTAACTTAAGGGTTGGCAATTTAGTCAGTTTTCAACCCAAATCCCGACCTAGTGTTTGGCATGCTGACATACTCTCTATAAAGGAGCGTGCATCAACTGCCGACTGGTCAGTCAATATTGTCTCATCCATTGAAGATGAATGGGATAGATTTAAGAATACACTTGAGAGGTTTACCACTGATTTCATTCTCTGGAGGGTTCCTAAAAGACCAACAAACCGGCCACCATGGATAAATAGACAAGCTGTAACACTCCTAAGACGGAGAAAAAGGTTCTGGAATCTCTTTGTTTCTACTGGGCTACAGCAGTTCCGGCTGAAATACTGTGAAACCAGAAACCAGTGTAAAACTTTGATTCACCAGTCAAGGATAGCTTACGAAACCCAGTTAGTTAGAAGTTCACCAGGCTGCCCAAAAAGACTCTTCTCATATATCAAGAGAAAAACATGTAAGAGTGATGCTATCCCACCTCTTATGCTTGAAGATGACCAGACAAACATGGCTGAGGATAACTTGACTAAGGCTGAGGCTTTTTCCAAGCACTTTAGTCAAGTATTTTCTGGTAATATTGATACCAGCTTTGTAACTTTTCCAGAAGGTAACTTGAAATGGCACCCTTATACATTGGAAAGGATACTGTCCTAAAGTACCTTCTAAGGCTCAATCCTGGTAAGTCCAGTGGCCCTGATGAACTCCACCCACGTATTTTAACAGCATTGGCTGAAAACATAGCCGAGCCATTGTCGGTAATCTTCAATATGTCTCTGGACCAGTCTAAATGTCCAAGAGACTGGAAAGATGCCATCATTAGTCCGGTCTTCAAAACGGGATCTAGAAACTTAGTTCAGAACTATCGTCCTGTTAGTTTGACCAGTATTTTTGTTAAACTACTAGAAAGAATAATTCGTGATGCTATCATTCAGTTCATTGAAGGGAACAAACTTTTCGCTGTGGAACAGCATGGTTTTAGAGCAGGTCATTCTTGCTTGACCAACCTTCTTTTGGCCAGAGAAAGTTGGGCAAGCTCAGCTGATGCTAATATACCGGTGGATGCCATATTCATCGACCTTAGCAAGGCGTTTGACAGGGTTTCTCATTCAGGTCTTCTAGTAAAGTTAGGTAGTCTGGGAATCAATAAAGTGGTTGCCGACTGGATTCACGACTTTCTAAAGGACAGAAGACAAAGAGTACGAGTTAACGGGGTTTTATCAACATGGGAATCGGTTAAGAGTGGCGTTCCTCAGGGTACAATTCTAGGCCCACTTCTTTTCCTGATTTATGTTAATGAGATTCCATCGGTAGTTAAGTCATCCTGCTTACTGTTTGCTGACGACATCAAGATATGGAGGGCTTTACACGATGACAGTGATCAACTTGCTTTGCAGGAAGATTTAAACTTGTTAAGTGATTGGTGTAAGCACTGGGCCTTGGAGATTAACTTAAGCAAGAGTGTAGTTATGCATGTATCTCATAGTCACGTGCACAATTACTCAATGAATGGCATTTATCTCCCAGTGGTCAATGAGTACAATGACTTGGGAGTGGTTGTGCAGCATGACTTGAAAACAGCAACAAACTGTAGAGCTGCAGCCACTAAGGGTTTTCGAATATTATGGGCCATACGCAAAGCTTTTGCGAATTTTGACGCTGAAATATTTCGTATATTATATCCGACTTATATCAGACCTCATTTGGAATATGGGATCCAGGCAGCGAGCCCGTGTTTCAAATACGAAATAGACTTATTAGAAAGGGTGCAAAGAGTAGGAACTAAGCTAATAAAGGGTTTCTCAACCCTCTCATATGAAGAGAGGTTAAGTCGACTGGGTTTATTTCCACTGTCATACAGACGACTTAGGGGTGACCTAATACTAGCATACCGTATCCTAAGAAATGATTTTGGAGCAAATTTATCTAATTTATTTCTTCCTTCTAGCACCAACCAATTGCGAGGACATCACCTCAAGGTTCAAAAACCACGGTCGAATGGTCTGCGTTTGGAGATCCGTTTTTCGCATCGGATTGTGAACCATTGGAACTCCCTACCGGAACACGTCGTATCAGCGCCATCCGCTGATTCATTCAAGGCGAGATTGGACCTCCTGTGTGTAACAAATCGAAAGGATTAACACAGGCATATAGCCTACTATCCTAAATAAATTGTAAACTGTAAACTGTATATAACGCGAAAAGACATTTCCAAACCGAAGGAAGAAATGTTTGAGGATATGCACATAACACAATCCCTGTTTTCTGTGAGCGTGAATAGTATGGATGGGGAGCAATAGAAATCCGCACTAAGATCTCAATATGGTCAGATTGCTGAAGTATGTTTCAGCCTACACCTCCAAATTAATTTTTATAAGAGTTTACAAGGGGCTGTGTGCGACTACTTTACGTACGAAATGAAAAGTTCTAGGCAGTTTAGTGATATTAATGAAGTGTTTGAAGATATACTGCTTTCCAGTTAGATGTCACAGATACTGTTGAGGAAAAGCTCTGTCAGGTATCACGGGTGTCATGACAATGTTTCAATCCATTGTGGGATGTACTGAAGCAACCAAAAAGTTTACCATAGGCAGTTGTCAGACGGAAATTGGATCTATATAGCCAGTGTTTCTACAATGCCGAATTATCCCCTGCTCATTTCATGTGCTTCGAGCCTCCAGTCTGAAAGCCTTAGCCTATATTTTATCATCATTTCTTAGTTCCAGAATCCTGATCTACGTTTCGCACTTCAAAGACAAATTCAAGATCATTTCAGACATAGGTAAGTTACATACAATGTAAGAATATAAGAAATATGTGGATGTTATTGCGGGTATATTCGTGACACTAGATGAATGTGAAGCGAATGCGGACAAGATCCTTCTACAGAAAAGTGATGACTTCGTGCAACTACACAAGCAATAGGGTTACAAGAACTCGTTAGCACTTAAAGCTGGACCTAAGGCTAAATGAACACTACTGATTACTTTATGCAAGGTTCATGACACGTGAAAAAGTACTGGGGCCTCCAGTCCTATGACTTTACGTCTGCACTGCAGCGGTTCTGCCACTACAACGTAACAGAGCACTCTTATTCTTCTCCGTAAGTCAACAAGTCGATTCAAAGACAGTTTGACAGTCTGGTGTCATCTACAGCAAACACAATCAGCAAGAATTATCGAATGGTTAAAAATATTGTCCACTTATTTATGGGCAGGGAGGCAATCGATTGTATCGAAGGCATTCCCTACTACATGACTAATCTTTCTGCAGGAGTTTGGAGATGCCAGCAGATCCAGGATTCTCGCCTCCCATGTTCGCAAATCCTGTGTGCCAACTCTACGGGATTGTACGCTGAGGTAAGGTTAATTCAGCTTGCACATATGCATACATTTTCACATCGGTCTCAATAAAGCCGAATGTGGTCAAGGGAACATAATCATGAAGTTTGCACGAGAACGCCACGGCGGATTTCTCCTGGTTAGTGTAATTTCGATGAATACGTGTGGAGAGTGTAGCAATATCACTGTCACCCATAGAAAAATAGTCTAGACCTCGGAGTGAGTCCTATCAGTAGACGTGACGGTGTCCACTACCCAATTTCGAGCAGGCCAAAAAAGTAGCGTTTTTCACTGAATTGCTACTATTCATTTTTATGTTAACATATATCCTTTTATACTAAGTTCTTTTTAACTTGGTCGGCTGTTATTTCGTGGTCAGTACATGTATTTCTGTTGGCTGTGTGTATCGATCTTAGACGTCACTTCGAGAACACGCGATAGTTGACGAGAATGATAGGCAACATAGTAGTGCTTGTGTGGAGTGCCCTCAAAGCCTTGTCCGGTTAGTATTTCTTCTATGTACCAAGCCTTGCGTGAACTCTTCAAGTTATAATTAATCCGGTTGCTTATAATATCAGTGTTTATTAGTGCTCACAAGCGAGATACCCGTAGAATGCGTACATGTCACTGGACAACGAAATATTACTTAAAAGATGTAAGCTAACAATGTGGATGACTTGTCAAGGTAGCGTAAGCACTTCAAGTACAGCGTGAGATGCCAGTTAAAAGACACGTGAACAACTACACGACTGATGCAGTGTTATAAGCGTATATAAATACAAAACGGTACAATATTTTAATTCATCACAAGTAGTCTGTGATTCTCCTGTTGAGTACAATACCACTGTTTCAAACGAAATCGTTTGGCATCAAGAAAGATAATAAATTCGTGTAAATAGCCCATTAAATCATCATATCAACGCTTAAACTTACGTATTAGTTAACCCTGTCATTGTTAAATTATTATTATTAACATCATTAACATAACCTCACGCTTATGGAAAATAATGGAAAATCACCTTCACTCAGTCCTGAACCTTCACCAAACACTTTGAATAACCCAAGAGAATTTGTTTACAATCACACTAGAATTGCATGGATGCTGTCGTCATCTTACATCATGATATGAGTTTCAGTTTAAACGAAGACGCCAAACATGTTCTGTGTGACTTAATCGCTACAACAACCACTTCTGAGTCTGCACCTAAACCTCATGTGGAATAAGGTTGCTGTGGCGAATACCGGGGCATCGGGTTGATACTGATTAAATTCTGCCCTTTGGAGGGAATCCAGGGCATTCCATTTGAAGAATAATCTTTAATTCTAACAATTACCGAGGTGAGTGTCTCCGGTAATGATGTTATCCCCCCTATTTGCCTTTCTTCCATCTTACATGACTTGCAACGAGGTGATGAAAGCAATCTTGTCAAGTATCCTAATAACCTGAGTGTTTCTGTGCCCGTTCCTTCTCAATCAGACTGCTCCAAAATGAATAGCTTTCTCTCAGAAATTCGGCAGTGATCCTTGTCAAGTGGTCTTAAGCTAAATCCTTCTAAGTGTCATACTATCAATTTCACATTCAGACACAAACTAGTAGTTGGTTCGTTTCTTTAAAATTTGGTAATGCATTGAGAACCGAAATAGAAACTGTCAGTGGGTTTTCAAAAATCCTTCGCTGCCAGCCTGAGACGTGAACCATTTTGTACATTCCACTTATTTTACATTTGTTCTGGAAACAGCAATCATGTAGATTTTCCATAAACGAAATTTATATAATGTAAAGAACACTTATCCATGCCTATACAGTTGATGTGTTCCTGCATAGACAGTAATAAATAGATTATTATAACATTATTTACCGAAGCAGAAACCGTGTCACAAGGATAGTATTTTCCATGCAATGTTTCTTTATCATCCTACATCTTCTCGGTGCCAGGAAAAACGGTCGGTCATGCTTTCTACACTAGGAGATCAAGGCACTCTGGTGTCACTGCTCCTCTCCTTTCGGCATTTTCAATACCAGATAATTCCCAGGAATCTCGTACTCAGACATATCTTCAGGCAGAATGCACACTGCCATAGATCGCATTTGTTAGCTAAGAAATTACACGTCACACTACCAAGAAGTCAAATTGTAGGTTAATGATATGATTAATCTTGAGGATTTTAAAGACTAAGCAGAACCAAGGTCATTGGAAGCTATATCACTTGACAAAATATCCCGGAAACCTCACTTTATTTAGAAGTCTGCATCGTGGATTTTGTCTGTAAAGACGATGAAATCTTCGCACTTAAGCCGTCAGACCCAGAGCAAAGACGCAAAGGTTTATTATTCTTAGCATTTTGCGTTCTCTACTCTACTACTTGCCCCCTCTCTAGACTACTTGAAAAATACTTGGCCATACTGCAGGTGGTACTAAAGGCTACCGGTAGGGTGAGTATCTTGCCTCTATGTTATCTCGCCTATGCCGTCGCTGACAGACATTTCAACCCACCACATACAATGGTGGTAGTGGCTATCCTCATGAATGAAGCTGATAAGTGTCTTGGCACTATATATCTGGGAATTACCTGGAGTTCTACGTCTATCAAAACTTGTTGCACACGATGGTGAGATCCTCATCTCCTGACGCTTGAAGCGGTATCCCATCATTGTAGTATCAAACAACAGAAAAATGATATTTAACTTCGGAGAGCAAGTCGCTGGACTTCAGGACACTCAGAAATAATGGAATGGGAAACCATATACTTGCCCTTAATTGAGTATCACGGTTTCCTACTTTATGTTTGCTTAGCCCACTCATCCCGTCGATTCAACCTCCATCTCCTGGTATCCCGTTTTCCAGGCTGTTTTCAGCTGATTTGAAGAACTACATGATGAAGTAATATTTATGAATCCTAGATGTCACAACATTATGAGAAATTTTATACGTTTCTGTCTACGGCATTAAGATTCATCAAAATTCTGGGGATGTTACATAGCATCTAGAAGACAGCTTCAAGAGACCACCAGAGTTTTACGAACTCATTACAAGGATGATCTATTTTAGTTGGTGGACGACAGTGAATTTTTGTGGTTGGTAGGCATCCCAGAGTCCAGTTTCAGTAGTTAAGCTGGGACAAAAACGGTCTACATGTTTCCGCCTGATAGCTGGGCAGCAGGGTTTCAATTGCATAAATGAGTAAACAGTTACTAGTGGAGGGACACGATGGTAGTCATAGTAGTGTTTTTGAACCTCATGAATAATCACTTCCCTATCTGCCTAAAACTCACTTGGACGGCAGAATGTGTAGTTACTCCATTTTAAATAGAACACTTTCGGATGTAAAATGGTTGACAAGCCAGAACATCAAAAACAATTCACAAATTTCTATTTGAAATGCTTAATGAGACAGGGAAGTATAGGAAATGTTGGATAACAAATTTAGTTGTATACCCATTGACAGTGTAGGGTTTGAGATTTAAGGGTGTGGGCTACTCGGACTCAGTCCTTGTGCCACTGCATAATAGTTGAGTCTCCTCTTACAGCTTCCCGTGGACCGTGCAGTAGCCACAGCTGATGGCAATGGGTCCCAAGGGCGGCAAACTATAGGAGAAAAGGACTGAAAAGGCACCCAAGTATTAGCTCTTTGATGCATCATCCTTCGTAAGTTGCCACGAGGAAGCCCGAACCACTTGATGGTGGAAAACTTTGTCTGTGTGACTTCGGGCATTTGTAATCTTTTAGGCAGTAATTAGTTCGCCACTAGGCTGACGGTAGCCAGTTGTGGAAAGGCCCACTTTCTTAAACCTTTCAGCATAGAGTTTATTGTGGAGATCAAACATCCCTTTTTCGCCTGTCTCCGAATCCCTCACAAAAGACTGGCGTCCCTGCTGCGTAACAGAGGAGCAATGATATTACACCCTTCATACGAATGTTTTGTACAACCTTAGGAAAGGCTCAGGAGTGAGCTCACCTAGCTGCCTACGCATGGAATGTATAACCACATGTTTCCTAACTAAATCCCAAAGGAAACTCAAGCATGTATCCATTTTCTTGTTAGAAGCAAATTTACGTCGCTCTCTGGCGTTACATAGGACAAGTTTTTCCTGCTGCCTACAGGTACGTGGTTGCACTACTTAGCACGATGGAAGTGGCTCACCAATTCCCACCTGATTCGTTTTTTCATGGAAAAGGATGTGCTAAACGGTGTCAGATGCCTCCACGAAGTGGAGTTAGGCCAGATGAACTGGAAGATTCATATACCAGAATGAAGTACCATAGTTCCAACCTGATTTGTCGTATTGGGTCTACCTCTTATGAAGACATGTTGTGCTTCATACAGTGTGTTCCTGCTGACAAGTGATACGCGATAAGATTATCGAGCAGAATTTCCACTATCTTCTGTGCCACTGAGAGCAGCGTCACTGGTTTTGTAGCTTGTCGAATTTCGCCGATCCTCACCAAGTCGTCCAATTAAAATTTCTTTTATTTTACACTTTATACCCAATATCATATGTAATTGCTCTAAAATATGAATTCATATGTCTGTGATATTCGTGAAGGTTTGTCCTCGTTATCACATGTATTTAGTTTAAATGTGGCAAAACCTTGAGATATGCCCTTACAAACCGCGTTTTTCGGAGGTGGTAATATGATGCTGCGGTTTGAAGAAATTTCCAAAATACTCTGATGAGCAACCTTTATGTTGTTGCACGCATCCGTCCCTTAACTCCTGAGTTAGTGTTTTGTTTTGAACATTTGTTTCAAAATGTAGCGTTTCTACTATTGAAAATTAATAATAACTTTCTTTTGCACTGTTTAATAGAATTGAAAGCCTACTACAGAGTGAATTTAACTTTTCCCTTGGGAATAAACGAATTTCTCTTAAAAAATTTATTTCTTGGTGAACAGCTCAGTTATTTCTTAAATCTAAAGTTCATCTGGAATCATAAATCACACTAAATGTCATACTTATCTAGTCTTAATGATGTGTTTTTGAATATTAAATTTTCCCAACTCAATGCTTCGTTCGTTACCAAAAATTCTCAGATTGATTATTGCGTTCAACCATTTGACTTCATGTTTTTGTGCAGTTAACTTCACAAATGAACGATATACTTATTTCGTTTATTTGAGCAAACATTGACCAAAGCAGAAACTGAGTGTGGAATTTTATTCACTTTCTACTTGGGGTAGAATATTTGTTTATCTGATATTTTATCGCTGTACTACAGAGCATTTTACTGCTTACGCTTATTTTTTTCTGTCTACTGCACAACGCCTCGATAAAAAAATGTAGGTTTCTGTCTTGTTTTGTAATTTGTACGAATAAATTTCGCAAATTAAGTGCTAACACATGGTGAAATTAACCTATCCGAAACGACCATGCTCTGTAAATTTAGTTTTGATTTTTAGACGTAGGTGTTTCAGAGGTGATATTTCGGTGCAGTAAATTAATTGAGTTCATCATTTTGCATACTGTGTTTATGTACACATTATCTAACAATTCATTATAATATACATTTCTCTAATTTGTCTTTTTCAGAGAGTCCAATGAAAACCCAAGGCAGTATATAACGATTAGGAAAAATGAGTTGATTCTGTTCAGTGGCAAACACATCAGTAGTGGAACAGTTGCTGATCACAGAGTTCAAACTAGAATATTCACCTTAGACCACATATTTGGCTCAGGTGAATCCCATAGCTGTGAACTAGATTCACAGTCTTCGGTAAGTAACTATTAAAATATTTCTAAGAGAAATTATGGTGTGTCCGACAACAAAAAATCATTTTACAGTACTTCGTAATATATTTTAACATTAAGACAGTAGGTGGATATGCAAAAATTAAAGCTTTCAGCTTACAGCATAAAAATGGTGATTAGACGTAAGCAGACTTAAAGGATTACACAATTCACACTGAGTGTTTAAATAGCGACTCAGTTTTGCCAGTGACTCAGTCGCCTGATTTGGGTTTGAATTTCAAAAATGTGCGCCTATTTATTCACATTTAATAGCTTATCAGGACGAAAATGATACAGTGAGACCGTGTCCTAATGAGATCATTTTGATACAAGCAGTAGTTTACTGATATGGGTAAATTCTATGTGATTATAACTAGTCAGTTAGAGAACTGCTTCATTGTTAATTTGATCACGTCAGTTTATATACAGTACTATGGAAAAACAAATAATGTTAATTAATCTCAAAGGCCTAAGTTAAGAAAGTAACAATATGGTGTTTAATCCACTCTGACTGTCTTCAAGCATCTTGTTAAAAAATGTGGAACTGAAGAATATCGGGCTGTTTAAAAGTCATAGATGGCGAACACATTTGACTAACAGGTGTTAAAAGCACCGAAATGAAAACGGAAAAATGAAAGAAATTAGTATAATTTTATTCTATCGTAGAATATAAAAGGACATGCAATAAAAATGAGTCGAAAGAATAACCAATTGAATAATCTAGAAGTGTAAATATGAGAAACCAATACGAATGATTGAATGCTCATAAATTTACCGTTATAAGAATAAGGGAGATTTGGCTTTCTTATAAGAAATATGGTTATACAAGTGAGACATAATATATAAGTTCTCATCTTTCAGAAACTACATGTTGCTTCTGCAATTCCGTCGAGTTTCTGACCCCAAAAACAAGGAATTTTCTTTGAAAATGCAGAACATTTTTTAGTAAGTTATAAAGATAGAGCTAAAAATGGGTGGAGCTTTAACCTTTCATATTCCTTTCTACCATTACTCGTTCTGTTTCACTCTTATACTTATCTAAATTCTATTGATTCTCTTCTCTCATTTTCCTGTCTACCTTTGTGTGGTATTTGGAACGTGGCAACTGGAACTGCTGCACTTCGGTGCCAAGTTCTATGTTGAATCCAGCAGCAACCAGCAGCAGGAGATATGGAAAGCAAGGAAATAATTTAAAAATGGAGTACACGTCTATTCTTAGTTGTAAGTGGCACCTGAGGCTCCGATGAACCCTTGGTTGAGTTGGAAAATATTTTGCAGTTTAGCGAGTTTCAGTAGTTTTAAATATCAATATCAGTATGGTTTATGAATCAACATTATCCTTCAAGCCAGTTGGGGATATACATAATCCACTGTCTGCTTAGATAAATTTTACACACAGTCTTAGTGGTAATAAGAGTTGTAGATGTCATTTTAATTAGAATTATCATTCATCTATTTTTACGTAGATATTTGGTGTGTACACACATCGTAAATCTCAAGTGGGTATGCTCCTTAATGAACAGGGACATATTTTCAGGAATAATTGTCTTGAGAGATCTACGTCTGTTGAAGATAGAAACCTTCAATAAAGAATACATTTTCCATAGTTTACAAAATTATCACTGGGAAATGTTAACTCCAAATAATAGAACATCAGACAGATTTTTATTTTTTATGGATACGTACTACTAATATACTTTAGATCCTGATCGAACTGAATTAAAGGAAATGATTTCAGAATAGTCAGTGGTATACGGGTTGTCTGTTTAAACATAGTCAGCTGTGATAACTTCTTCACGTTAATATCACATTATGTGAGACAGTACTGTGCAAATTCATAATGCATTACAGTTTGTGACATTCAGCTAAACTTGAGCACATTTTTATCAGATTGTATTTTGAGTCAGTGTTTTGCTGAATGAAGTTTTCACTGAAATTTTAGTTATCATCTCAAATATGATACAGATCAATTTCGTTTTATCAATTCTCTTTCTTGTTTGAAATTCGAAGCACCCGAATAAACTGCTAGGATTAATTTAATTTTTGAATCACTTTGTTTTAAAGTAAAGATTTTCCTTCCTATTACATATAATTCTTAAACAGATATACAATCACATTGGAAAAGATGCAGTTGAGTCTGTGAAACATGGATACAACAGTAGTGTGTTTGCTTACGGGATGACAGGAACAGGGAAAACGCATACAATCTTTGGATCCGAAGTATGTTTACACTGTTATTCTTAGTCTGAGAATGACTCATTTATATCAATAAACTTTTACCATTGTTTCACCTTTGCTTATAATCTAAAAGACATGAAAAACTACGTGAGTGAATGTAAAAACTATTGCTCTCTGTTGTCATATTTAATACATTGGCGTTTTTATGCTAACAGACTATTTAAATGAGGATTTTTCAGGGAATTTCTGCTCAATATTCAGTAATCAAAAACATGGTTGTGTGTAAGAGTGATCTGACACTGATATCTTTAGTTAAAATTAGATAAGAAACCTAAACATATAAGATAATGTTTAAAATCCAGTATGTTTGAAGAAGTCAACTTTGATATATATTCTTGGTTGTATTAGGATGTGACTACTAGGGTTAAGCCCGATTTCAATCAGTAATGGATTACGCATCTACTACTGTGGCTTCTATATGTCATGAAAATTCCTAGTGGTAACGATAATATGTATACAAAAATGTTTACAGGTAAAAGTTACAAAAGTTGTATTTCTCGTTACTTCAACAACAATAACATATCATTCATATATATTTATATTAATCTTAAATACGAAAGTATATGTATTCATAATATGTACGACCTGAATTTCATTTGACGCTTACTCACTTCAGTCTCCATACTCTGATGATTGACTATATATATATATATATATATATATGACCCGTTGCACAAGGGATGGCTCTCGTGGCCCAGGTGGTCTAGTGGAAAACGCTTTGGCGTTTGAAAATATGGACACTGGGTCCGAGCCTTGGTGGGAACATCATCAGTCACTGGGAATGCAGGCACATCCAGATGAAGAGTCCCAAATGGGACGGAATGCGCACCCACTGTTAGTCACCATCCACCAATTAAACTATACTGGAATTTCCACTATAATTGGGGTACCATTAAAAAGCACATAAGTGAAGACATGATGTCACACAATGAGCATCGCAAAATAACCAAGTTTAAGATAATATAAATTAAATCTTTTCACCTAGGTTTTGACCCAACTATTGCATGAAGTAAATATTTGAATCATTGTTAGAACTTTGTTGATGCACTGCACTGGAACCAAATTGTAAAGTTGCATCTCTCGGTTGAAGTTATCTATGAGAAACATTGAAGACCTATGAAACCCTACTGATAATGAGGAACTCAGTGTCTTTGACATCCCTAATACACACAGCGCCGTAGAACAGGAGGTTATTTCTGTGAACATTCACATCACGAAGTCCAGATACTTTTCGACATTTTAATCAACTGCTGTCATGAAATGTTCACATAAGTTTTATTTGACAAAACCACATTATGGTAATCACTTAAATAATGTCCAAAATACTAGTTTATATTAAAAAGTGAGGACACATCCGAATATATGTAGTTAAAAAATAGCAGATTTGAAAAAGTTTGGAAAAACTATAATCTCATCATTAAAGTGTTTACAGTAAGATACATCTTACTAATGACAGTCTTAGTGAGTTGGTGGTTCAGTTGTATAAGGTTCGTCATCCACGCCAGGTCTCCCGGTTTGATTTCCCATCGACACGTTCCTAAACCTCTCTTAGCCACTGGTACGCTCGATGAAAAGGAAGAGTTACGAGTGAGACTAGGAACCCCATCTGGTAAAAAAAGCCATTGCTAGTGAAATTTCAAAACTTGAAGTCTTATGTTCCACTCAGAAGGCAAAGGAATGTAAAAATGACAAGCTTAATATAGAAGTTTAAGACACGTCCAGAAACGTCTTATCCCTTATATTATTATTTACATCACGCACTTGATAAAGTGCTCGTTTCGCAGGCGGAAAGTCCAAGTTTTAATCTCTGGGTAGGTCGTGAAAACATACTGCTGAAGAGTCCAAAAGCTGAGATTAAAGAGCTATTTTTCAGCGGTTCTCTAGCTGATGTCGGATCTTTGAGGAATTAGCCTAAAAGTCATCATTCTACTTATTTTGCGGGTAATTTATCGTTCTTTAGAGTATACTTATGGGAAAACAATAACATATATCATTCATATATATTTATATTAATCTTAAATACAAAAGTATATGTATTCATATTATATATGACCTGAGTTTCATTTGACACTTATTCACTTCAGTCTCCGCACTCTGATGATTGATTATATATATATATCCACTTTAAAATACTTTTAATTTACGGTTAATTAAATGGTAAATTTCGCTGTTCAAAGAGTTGAAAATTGTTTTGGTGTTTTCATTTGTGGTGACGTTTTGATAACATTAGGTAAAAATAAAATAAATGCTACAATCTTAATTAATGTACAAGGTTGGGTTGTAAATTAAAGATGTTTCAGTTAGAAGTTGAAAATGCGGTAGTAATAATTTGCATTTGAAATTTTGTTATAACGGACTTCTGGTGTAAGACTCACCATAATCATTCAACAGGTATTCTGAATACAAATAATGAGTATAAATGATAACAGTTGGGACATTTTTCAATTGTATCACTAAACACCATGACTGTTTTAATCTTAAAAGTGAACCAAACTTGTTCTAAATTCATGCAGGGAATCAAGTAAAATAGTTTTCTAGAATTGAAAACGAATTTTTCTCACAGCTTACTTATGCACACATGAGCTTAGTTCCTGTTATCAGTAAGTATGCTTAAACTGTTAGAAAAGACGACGAGGACAGAAATTCAAGTGAACACAGAGTAGACAGAGGCAATGAAGCGTCAGTGGCACAGCGGTTAGGACTCTTGCCGACCATGCACATGGTCCAGGGTTTGATCCCCTGCCGATGCACACCTGATATCAATGATCGGCCTGCAGAATTCAGGTTACCGACATCACATGCTAGAAATTCCATACTTCTACCAAAAGTACTGTGTGGAATCAAGCTATAATAAAAAAATAACAACATAGACCAATGAGCATAAACGGGAGAAAATTAAAGGAAGTCATTTCTTTGACTTGCTTGAAGTTGACGGAATTTTATTATCTACAAGAGGCAGGACGGATGAAGAAATCGCAGTCAGCCCAGAGCAGATCGGGAAAGAAAGAAAATGTTTATCACTCCGTAATAAGTATGGAGACCCAAAGCACTTGGTGCCCACAAGGAACAAGATCCGAATTTTTCACACTTATGTGAAATCTTTGCTTTTGTATGGTTCAGATGTTTGGCACGTGTGTCACCTAAAGCATTTCCAGTAGACTGCAGAATTTCATCAACATCTGTCTTAGCTCGATGACAAAAAGATTGGACAGCCGGGCGGAAGGAAAAACCAATCAAAAACTTTGGCAGTCAAAGAGATAGACAACAATCTACTGCACAGCAAACGTGCAGAAGGAAAGGAATATTTGGGTATACGTTGAAGAGATATTCTAGTGACATTATATGCTGGACAGATCGTTGAACAGAAGCTGAACAGAAGTGAGTTAGTTGTCTGAGGATGACATGGAGGAGACCATATGAAGAGAATTTGAAGGTATGTTGGAAATATTGTGGCCTGCTGAAAGTGATGGCAGAGAACCGAGTAGAATGGAGATGTTTCATCTAAACTCTGTTTTGCACTCAGAACGCAAGGAAATAATAACATCAATAATGCTACCTATACTTGAGATATAACAGAAGTTATTCATTGAAAACACTTTTTAAAATTGAAACACTGCAAGAAGTTCTCCCAAAATTGTTGAAAAAACATAATGCTTTGTCTGTGATACAGATAGAAAATCAAAACAAGTGATTCAGCGAAGAGACTCTTTTCAACGAATTTATTATCAAACTGTACAATCATATATATGTATATATATATGGTTTTTGAGAAGTTATATCCCGTGAGGGAATTGAATCATAGGTGTGAATGCATAAAATAATAATAATAGTATGAAAAGCAATGGGTTCTCCTTTGCGTCCTCTCCTTGCAGACTGTTTTATGGCCAGTCTAGAAAATAGTCACTTGAAGTCAACAATCCAAAGCTTTCAAATGTTTAAAAGGTATGTAGATGGCACCTTCATTATTTGTAATAGTGATTGTAGTTTGAATAATATATTAAATGTATTTAATGGTTGCCATCCAGTGATAAAATTCACACTCGAAATGTAGAACGAGTCTAGTAATCATTTCCTCGATGTAAACTTATCACGAAGGACCGATGGAACTCTGAAGAGATCGATTTCTCGAAAGCTGTCATGGAATAGACAACTGACAAATTTCTACAGCTGGGTACCCTTTGGTCAAAAATGAAACCTGATCCGGTTGCTTGCCACTCGCATTCAGCACAGATGTAACCCTGTTACTATGGAGGATGAGTTTAATCTCTTGAAAAAATTCCTAATAGAAAATAGATTTCCACCACGTTTTATAAACAGTCAAATCCTATGAAACGTGACATTATTCGTACCCAAAAAAATACTGTACATGAGGTTGGAGTTTAAAGGTGACTTAGCTTCCGATATCAGTAAAAGAAGTATCTCACAGTCCCTGAAAAGAACATTCTCTTCGGTATCCTTGAGAATAGCCTTTACCATTCGACTCTTACTGTTCAATAAGCTGAAGGACAAGACCCAGCAGTTGACCAACTCTGTGTGTGCTTATCAATTCACCTGATCGTGTGGAGCTAGGTATATCGGTCGTTCGACTCGAGTTTTGTCCAAGAGGGTGCAAGAACACTATCCTGCATGGTTACAAAGAGGTGGAAGTGGAGCAATGAGAAATGCGATCATTGAGCATCTGGTCGATACTGATCGCCATACCTCTACAGCCTCCACCTTTAAAGTCATCTACAAGACAAAAAGTAATTTACCGAAACCACTACGTATCCGACTCATCTGTATTGCTGAAGCTTTGGCTATCGAAACAGAAAAGCCAGATCCCTCTGTACAGAAAAAGTTCGTTCAACCTCTCCAACTTTCATGGTCTTCATCCCTCTATGCTAAAGTGTGGTAATCCCTAATCATATTTCGGCTCTGCCACTTTTTTCATTTTGTCTATTCAATTTGTATACTCATCCTTTATTAAGTCAATTGTTACTATTACTTTTCTCACCCTGAACTGTCCTCGGTATTATTTCACTTGTTCCACGTGTCATTCTAAATCAATTTTGTTTTGCGACATTAAATTCTGTTATCAAATTTCCCACATTATTACGTAACGTTTTTATTTTATTCGATTTGCCTACTAATCCTATAATTCCACACTCCTTCCAAGTTCTATACATCCTACGAATTATTCTACATATGACATCAATTGTTTTGCCACTTGACATTTAACTATGATTATAATCACAAATATCTTAATTGCATTTCATACTATTATTATTTTATGTATTCACACCCATAATTCAATTCTCTCACCGGATATAACTTCTTAAAAACCATATATATACATACGATTGTATAGTTTGATAATAAATTAGTTGGAAAGAGTCTCTTCGCTGAATCACCTGTTTTGATTTTCTGTGGGTTACAACGGGAATTTTCTATGATACAGATAGCAAAATCATAAGAAAACGAAAACAAATGACGGCATCCATTACATTATATAAATACTTAGTTGATTAAGCCTACTGAAGAAAAAACCTAATGTAGTCATGGAAAGAAAAGTAATCCATTTGATGGTAGTTGGTTAAGAAAATTCACCAGGTAGCCATGTGACTAGGGAATTACATTTTTAAATTATATTTGTCATAGTCCTGATTTTTAGGCATTTTTTAGATCAAGATAATGTCAAATTAGAAAAAAGAAGAATTGTGTTAAATTAACTAGTCTAAACTAGTGTAGTTTATCCTTAATCACGCTTATTACACTTTCTTGACTATACAGTTACTTTTGATTCTATTTTTAGGGTATATTTTGCTAAGTAAGCTGACTCCAACACTCATTGAACCCTGTCTCACAAGTTGGTTGTTCTTCTATTTTTCGGGTAGGAAACAACACACTGTTAGGAATGGGAAACTAGTGTGTCTAAAGGCGTTGTACTTCCTTCATTCCTTTTTTCTTTCTTTTTGTATGACCTGTCATATTCTTTTAAAGCCAATTTCATTTAATATGTTGATGATCTGGCAATTTCTATCTGCCAGTTGTTGTTTCTGCATTAGATTGTTCTGATATGAATAGTTTCTTATCTGAGGTTAACCATTGTTGTTAAACTGAATTCCCTTAAATGTCAGACTGTTAATTTTAGTTTCAGGCATGAACAAGATTTGTGTCGACTGATACAGTGTCATGATTCTTGTAATACCGACCGTACTAGAGCTATCAGTTAATCAGACACTACCTATCTTGATATCAGTTTTTCTTTAGAATTTTGTAGGTTGTTTCATATCTTGTTGATTTCTAAGAAAATCTTTAATTTGACTTATTATATAAGGATGCTGTGGCTTGCTGACGTGACTCGACCTCTTCTGCTACAATTTTCTATTTCAAGTATTTTACCTATTATTTTTAAGTGGTCCCCCTTTTCTTCCCTGGCTTCTCAAAAAGGACTATCTAATCTTACACATAACTTCGAAGTCTGTAAGCACAGTTAGTGTTTTAGTGCATTTGATCCGAATAGCTGACATTATTTTCCATAGACATTTTAATTCTTGCATACAGCTGGTTAAAGTCATCCTGTCCAGTCATGAACATCCTCCCTGCTCACAACTTTCTCTTTCTATCTGTTTGGGCATCGGTGGCACAGCGGTTAGGACGCTCGCCGACCATGCACATGGTTCGGAATTCGATCCCCAGCCGACGCACACCCGATATCAATGATCGGCCTGCAAAATTTGGGCTAACGATATCACACGCTGAAAATTTCATACTTGTATCGAAAATACTGTGTGGAGTCAAGCTATAATAAAATTAAAAAAAATGAATAAAGTTTCAAAAGAATGTACTCTTGTAAGACTGAATATAAAATTCAGCCATACTATATTTTGCTCAGGTGGTGTGTGAAGATAGGACCAATTTTATGATATGTAAATATACAGCAACTCAGTAACAACATTATGATTACAAATATTATTATTATTATTAACTTCTGTATTTGTAATTTTATCATTTTCTGTTATTTAATGTATTTATTTACTTTTAAAAGATGACAGGTTTTTGCAATATGTGTAATACTGAAAATTTTCATTCTGTAAAGTTACTTTTGTTTGAAAATAAGGTAATTACTGTTGTGAAGGCATTCAAAAAAAATGAAACTTCATTGTTTGCTGTTACGTTGGTAGTGCAGAATTAGAATGCTCTCCAGCCAGTCAGGTGGTCCGGGTTTCAATCTCTAGCCAACGCACTCTTTTGCCTCGCTTAGCTGGTAATAAGTCAGGCAAAGAGAGAAGGTTGGCGATGAGGCTAGTAACCTCATCCCGTAAAAGTAAGCATCACTGCTACTGAAGCTTTAAGCCTCGAGCTTGAAGCCCTATGTTCCACTTGGAAGGCAAAGGAATAAAATAATAATAATAATAAACAATAATAATACGTCTGACTAGACTTAAATAAATGGTTATTTGCTCATTATTGCTTTAAACTATGGCATTAGATGCATCAGTTGATTATTAGTATATTTATACAGATTTACGGAGTGACAACATTTAGTTTTTGAATGATAAATATGCATAACATATTTACTTTGTATTGATATTTGAATTATATATATATATATATCATTGATTAGGGTTGAAACAGGAAATCACCTTTTTCTCTAAAAAAGTGAAGTGATTTGGTAAAGTTACCATAATCTAGCAAAAACACATTAAACCAGATGGAAACCAAACAATATAAAATAAAACTTTTTCTTTTGAATTTTACCGTTATTAAGGAGTAAATTTAGTCCGGTATTATTATTATTATTCCCTTGGGTTCCTAGAGGAACACAGCTCTTCAACAACACGTCTCCACTTTGTTCTATTTTCTACCGTTCTCTTCAACTGAGTTCAGTGGTCATCATATTCTGATATCAGCTGAAGAACTTCTAAAGAAATGAGAAATAACGAACAGTTATTTTATTTTATATGAGCTCCATACCACCGAGAACAATAATCTTTCAAACCTGCAATCATTAATATGAGTTCCGTTGGGTGTCATCTCCCAATATCATCACTCAGTGTAGAGGAAACTATACAGAATTTAGATCCGGACGAAGATGCAGTCATTAAATGTTGAACCTTCTACTTATTCTTGGACAACGGGATGCTCACTGGCGTTCGATTACGGGCCAAAGATCCTGCGTTGAACATGACACTTAACTTCATCAATCAAGATATTCTTTAATTGTTTAAGTGTGAAGAGAGTATAGAGGAAGAACTAATTAAGGCATTCTAGTCAAACTGACATAGCCAGGTAAGGGGGTGTAAACTGCATGACTGGAGTGATAAAAACCAGTGGTTTAAGACTGTTCCTAAGATGGCTGAAAATTGTTCACAGTGGAGTGTATGTACTAACTTACTGTTGTCATTTAGATTCTGAAAAATGCCAATCTTTGTCAAACTGTTCCCTCCAGTGTATCTCATAGTTCTGTTACATTTCTTTTCTTCTACGTATGCTTTTCTTAACGATAACAACTTGAAATGATAAGCATTTTTCCTAAAGTTTCACATTGATAAGTCAATAAGCCATTCCATAATTCACAACTTTTCTCCAAAACCTTGAGAATTTCGATGTATGAGATGGTGTCATGTAGGAATATATTACTCGTTCCTGTTTGAGTAGGATACCAGAGTGAATCCTCGAGTAATTCTTATAAGCATTTGCAGTGGAGAAGAATATTTACCCCCACATAAATAATTAAGTAAAGTGTTTTTATTCCTTTTGCCTTCCCAGTGGAACATAGGGCTTCAAACTAGAGCTTTGATGTCTCTGCAGCAGTGGTGATTATTTTTACGGGATGGGGTTGCTAACCTCATACCCAACCTTCCTTCCTTACCAGTCTTATAACTGGCTTAGTGAGGTAAAGCAGTGCGTCGGCCTGGTACCGAACCCAAGAACACATGCGTCGCTGGCGAGGACTCTACCACTGTGCCACCGACGCTTCTCAATATTAGAAACTATTATAATGATTCGATAATTACTTCACCATCCTGATCCCTTGAATCTCTGAGCTCTTTTGTTTTGGACCCCTCATTACATTCTGGTAAAAATTTTAGGAATAAAAAGGAACCAGGGGAATGGTTACAGTGCAAAGGGAAATACTCTGCCTACCTTGTTATATATAGCATATGAAGTATTTTTCCCATCTCTTATGTTCCAAGTTCCAGGCTTCAAATTTTCAGTAGGGGTGGTGTTATTCCTGCGGAGGAGAGTTGCTAGCCTCACGCCTAGATTTATCTCTTTTCAAGGCTCATTAGAAGTTGAGAGAGACTTTCAAATGCCTTGGCTAGAAATCGCACCCAAACATCCCATGTGGTTGGCAAGCATTCATCACTGAAGTACCGACACACACATGCAATATATACGGGATGTATAACAGGCAAACCTCAGTGAAGTGACTGTACCAACATGAATTTGAAATAATATCAACTTCAGATACAAAACATATTGAAAGTGTCGCAGGCTAATGAAAGTTGAAATAACACTCTACTTATGTCACTACAGTAGTTGGTATGGTTGATAACAAAACAGGGAAACAAGGAAGTATGTGGTGCAAACAATTTAGTCATTGACTTACAATTATGTCTGTTAAGTTGTATTATTCATCTGATATAAGCTCAATCACCGGAATATTTTTTATTCTCAGTAGTGATGTAAAATATCTGTGTTATGATTGGTTTTCATTGTCATTGACGCCTACTAATTAGTATTTATAAGTTAGCGTTACAAGAACTGTAACTAATTCACAAAATCCATCGCTTTTTTATCTAAATAAACTGAAATTATTTAATGTAATCCAACACTATAGCATTGGTATTCCCTTGGGTTCTAGGTGGATCATAGGGGTTCAACAGTACATCTCCATTTCACTCTGTTCACTGCTTTCATTTGTAGTTGCCTTCACACATGAGCTGTCATCTTCTCCTCGCATGATCTTCTCTATGTCACCCTTGAACCAAAGTTCAACTCTTCTTGTCCGGGCCCCATTTGATGATCTGCCTGGAGTACGATGTCATTCGACGGTCTCCTCACCGTATGTTCAGTCCATCTCCATTTCTTTCCATAAATTTGTTTGGCGATGAGTTCTCGGCTGGTTCTTTGCCAGAATTCCTTGTTGCTTACCCTTCCTGACCATCTGATCTTCAGCATCCAGCCAGTGAAGGCAGATGGTGATGAAAGTCTGAAGTTTGTTAGAAGTGCTTTTCGTGACTTGCTAAATCTTTGAACTTCATAGAAGTACTGATTTAACATTCACAGTAAACACCAAATTTTTTTATTTGTTTTTTTCATTTTTTAGAAAGATCCAGGTTTAATTCCACGAGTGTGTGAAGTAAGTGAATATCGTCAATTGATGTGTATATATATTTGTTATGTATTTACTTGAAAATTATCAACAACACACTTCCGATCACATTTGCCCAAACTAATTTCCACAAACGAAAAGGTGGCCGTTAACCACACATAAATTTGTCCCACTTTTTGCTGTGATTAATCACATTATTAGAATAGAACTATGTCATCCATTGTATATATCTTCACAGAGATTACAAAATACCTAATTAGAGTTTATTACTGGTGGTTAGTTTTATGCCCATTTGATTCAAAAGGTCAGCATACTGAAGCTTCTGATATGTATGTTTTTACTGGATTCACCTGACTTTTGGATCTACCGTATATGTAATAATGGATACCAGTAATAATAAGTATAGATTTAGCTAGAAAAATAGGGGAAAAATCAATATTTTTTATGTTTTTGTTTCTCAGGGATTTGGTTGGTTTCAAGACCGATCACGAAATGAGTTCAGTTAGAGAACCAATGAGAACCAGGAGGTACTACGCATCTGTTTTTTCCTCGTGTGGGACTCTTCATCAGTAAACGCGCATGCCCCCCCTCCCCCATCCCAGGAATCTTGGAATCAGTTAAATCCCTAAAAATCAAAAACTTGAAAATTAATTGAAAATTAATTCAATGCTCACTTGTGACTGAATACAGGATGAAGTTGTTTGAAGTTCCACCAAGTTGGGTGAGAAGACTAACTCTCGCCGATGACACTGGGTGGCGGTGGTGCAATATATCATGAATTGACAGGAGTTAGAACTGATAGGCTACTGGATTCCGTCTGTGACTGAGTGTGGTACGAGTTCGCCTCGCAACATGAAGGTTCGACTATAGATGAGTCCCAAACTAGGAAGAGGTATCTGTCTAGAACTCCCTGATTTCCAATAGTTCTCTAACTCGGGTCAGTTCGTGATCTATCTTGAAATAAAACGATATTATGCGATATTATTTCTGGCTTTGTTTTCCCTGTTGAAATGGGTAATTATTAATCTCATTATTCAAATTTTTAGTTTTATGGGGAATTTAATCACTTTTGTTACCTTCTGACATCAGTAGAAGAGTCTTTCGTCCTAGTTTAGGACTCTTCAGCTATCCACCGGTTCTTAGTTTTTAATAATTCTACAACTGATGCCAGTTCGTGGTAGAATCTACACTGTAATTTTAATTACTTTTAAACATTTCAACTCTTTTTTCTAATTTCCTAACTTTAAAGGCCTTGTTAGAACATGTGAAATTGAATCAAAGTATACATATGAAATATGAATTGAAAATAAGGTGAGTCAAATTAGTGTGTTTATTTTTCAGTATCATAAATGATTTAACTTACGAATAAATTATTTTTAACGTATATGTATATATTTCCCCTTGTATAAAACTTCGAAAATTTTTTGTGTTGTTACATTGATATTTTAATTGACAAAAGATGATCATTTACAAATTTCAAAAGCCAACAAGGAATATTTTTTTCAATAACTTCTTTATAAAGTGCTACAGTTATTAACAACAACAATAATGTTTTAAATTACACTGAATCAATCATAACAGTAGATTAAAGTTTGAAACCATTTGTGAGTGTTAGTATTGCATAAATGTAACAATAAACCGAATATCAGACAAGCCGGGGAAAAACAATGCGGAATTTATGAATTTATGGTTTTCAGGGGAGGCCAGGGTAACACTAGTGACGTGACCTGTTTTTTCGCACATGGTTGCCTCCGGTTCAAACAATCTCTGCTGTTTGGAGCATATGGTATTCGAAGACGATGGCATATCTACTTAACTAACAAAATAAAAATAATGACATCGTTTAACCTTTAGTGGAAAATATTTCTAGAACTAACAGTGTTTTGAACACATTTTGTAACTCGGAAAAACGAAGATTAGTTGATAATATCTACCTTTATTATTATATGGTTGGAAGCAGTCGGTAGGAAGCCTTGGATCAAGATTTCGTGCTTGTGGACACTCGTCAGCAAGGCGTACCTGCAGTCTTGAAAGAACTCATGTCCCTTGTGAAATCTGAACCTGTGTCACCCAGTGCTGCAGTCAGGCGTTACTATTAAGCTATTTGGGCTCACAACTGACATCAGTTTCTTCAAGTGTTTTGATACGCTTTGCTGACTGGTGAGTGCTAACAAACACAAAACCTAGGTCCAAGGCTTCCTGATGATTGCTTCCAACCGTTCAATAACGACAGTTCTAGGTGCACCATGATGGTGAGCCACATCGCAAACTTGATTGACAGAATCAGTTTACGCAAAACAAAGGATTATAAACATGACACTAGTTACTAACTGTTCTCCAATCAAATTAGCTGCCTTTATTATACCTCATCAGAATGCTGGATTTATGGTTCATTCAAATATACTGATACGACGTTGAATTATAAATAACCCATAACTCTCTGATACACTTACTCTAACATCTCAGTATAAGATACACTCAGTTACTGAATAGCTGTGGATTCAGTAAAGGAATGGAAAAAGAAAGTTTAACTACGTAAAATGCATTTGTGACAATTTTCCGGCCTTTGCAGAGTCAGATTTTTCACTTGTTTTATGATCCTAGTCAAGCGCTTGAAGTCAGAATAAATTCTGACTTTAACATCACTTGGTAACAAAACACATCAAATTACATTTCAAGAAGAAAAAATGCACAGAGTGAGATCCATGTTAGAGTAGTTTTACGCAACTCAAAAGCATCAGGCAGTGGTCTGTCAAATCCCTCTTACTGGTGAGCCTTAAGCCTATTCTTCTTCATTCTTCTCTTTTTTCCCCTCCTTTCTTTAAAAACTTCTAACATTAAAATGTACTTTATGATTATTCTTTACATATATGAATAATAGTTGTAGCAATAATCATTTCTGAACCTTAATTGCTTTTGGATTCCTTAAGACTACTCAGCCAGGTTTTGCAATTAGTTCTAATTACACATATTAATCTCTTATATTCGATCAGTGTATACCATTATCATTATTCAGTCTGGATTTTTCAAGTATTTCACTCGCAAATTTTCCATTGGTTTCATTAGTAATTTATCAAAATCCTTAGAAAAAGATGAGCAATACTCATGTGACTACCATGCAAGAATTAGTGTCACAATGATATATTGTCTGAAACCATAGGACCAATACTACATTAGAGAGAACTAGAAAGTAACAACCCGAAGAACCACGGAAGGTTTTAGACCCATACATGAGTACGTTGATCAAACAGATATTCATTGTCTGTATGCTGTGAATAAATCCTTCCTTCTTTTTCATTCCATTGCTTTTCGAGTGGAACACAGTGGCTCTATGGGATAAAGTGACTAGCTCCACACTCAACCTTACCTCTTTTCCTGGTTTACTACAGGCTAGGTAAAGTTTGGAAGTACGTCGGCTGGGAATCGAACCTTGACATTATTACTGGTTGTCGAGAAATCTACCTCTGAACAACTGACGCATTTGCGAGTGAATGCAAACCACTAAAATTTCATAATATTTCTGCTGGCTTTAAGATCATGCAACTGTATTTTAAATTATCTACTGATGTAAACTAATTTTTGATATTTGTAAGAGTAGAAATACATATTAGTAGATGGTGAAAATATTTTAACTGTAAATCCTGTGTTAGAAAAACGTGAATTGAACTTAAGCTAGTATATTTCAGACTTGTATTTATCAGTTTTGTTGAGAAATAAGGTTTAGTGTACTAGAAAATCACACTGTTATCATATACTTTTTTTCTCTCCAAAAATAAGTTCACATTAGAAACTGGGTCAAAACTGAAAATACAAAATGTTGATAAACTTCACCGGTAGACAGTTAAGACGTATGATGCATATTATGAAAAATGACTAGTTTATTCTAAGAAAACGCCTTTACATAACATATGCTTTATTTTTATTATATTTCTATGGTTACATTACAAGTTTTCTGCAAGTTTAAGGTCTGGATTTTAAAAGGAGTGGTAGTAGCATGCTTAAACTTACATGCAAACGTTGAATCAACTTAACTTCTTTAATGATTCATATGTCACACTGTTAGCTTTATGAGACACCTTCGTATTGGTATCGTGTACCTCTAATCTTGCCTTGACCTCCATTTCGCAAAAAGTCTTTCATAAGCCAATCACACAGCTGGCGATGATGCTTGTGAAAAAAAGCCTTGCATGTCTGATGCAATGTTTTGATTGATATTCTTACAGTCTGAGAAGAATTATATCTTTTGTCACTATCTAGCTTAAAAACATCTTACTAATTTGTCCAGTATTTCAAGCAGTGATATTCTGTACGGGCCTGTCTGAATCACTAGTCTACCTGAATTTCCATCCAAAAGAGTGCATCATATTCTCTTTAATTCTTGTTGTTTTAACCATTCAGTTATGTCAGTGAGTCGCAAAATGTACTCATACACATATCTAACTGGCCCTCAAACTACCGGTACTCATTTCTCGGTGACGAAAGAAAAACATCATAAAGGCTTGGTCTGTGATTCAGGTCTAACAGCAGTGCGTCACATTTTGTCTAGAATAAAACTATTATTATTTTTTTTAAATACAATACAGTTTCAAATTACATTGCGGTTCACTGAACAGATTCCACATTTACAGACAGCCAGCAGGCACCCACTGATACCAATTCCTGGTCAAACTTGAATACTTTGAAATTGTCGACTTGACTGATTCTGAAGTGATAATATTGTATACATTTGTTTACCTACCGTACGCTGTATTTTATTTAACGACACATATGGTTTAGAATTTCATTTCATTCTTGTTCGGTTAAACACTTAATAAAACCACATTATAAATGATCCAGTTTAAGCCATGTGCGTGAGTGATTCAACGGCAGAGTGCATGCCAACCATACTAGACACTGAAGCTCGATTTCCGCCTCACTTCCAAACCTTGACTAGTATACTAGCCTACTGTAAGCCTAGAAAAGACAGGAGGTTAGATATGAAGCTAACAATCCCACCCCATAAAAGTGACACCAACGCCATTGAAACGTTAAAGCGTCAAGGCACTATGTTCCACTCAGAAAACAAAAGGATGAACAAAATATCTCAACCGTGACGTCAAATGTACTACAACTAAGTAATCAGAGCGGATTCTGTTTTAAACATAACACCTAGCATAGTGTTTTGAAGATTTTCTAAATTCCTCACTAGTGTGTTGCCTGGTTTCTTTGTTGGTTCAACTGTGAAGGTACGTTGTCCGTCAACTAGATATTATTTATTAGTAAACATTATATTGTATATTCCATCTTTAAATGAAAGAATTTAAGGGATGAATGTGGTGATTAAATATTTCAGTACTACTTTGTAAGAAAAGTAATATTATTTTATTATGTGTTTGAAGTTTGTTATTTTTAAAAACAGTACGTCCAGAAAGCATTACGTATTACACATTGCAGTAAAAAAAAGTAATCTCAACATATATTAACATTATATAAACTCACATTATATACGATAATGTCTAACTATCCTACTAATATGTCAGATGTATTTATATGTGTCTGTTAAGTAACACCTGATTTCCGCTTGAGTAGTTTTTTACGCAATACGCTTTAACTCACCTCTTCACATCAGACTTTAGAAATCTATGTATTATTATTATCTACGCACACATTATTTGGACAATATTATTATTATTAATAATTCCCTCAGTGTCAATGTAAATTTTAAGTAAATTAATACATCTGCTGTACGTTTGTGGCTGTAGTTCACAAAACTTCAGTCAAATACTCCTTCCTATATAAAGGCCAATTTATGAGGCTTTAATATTAAGGCGGTAATGAAATAGTAAAGTTTACGGAAAGAAAAGTGACTTTACAACAAAGTGGTATCGGCTGATTGGAGGTTGTCAGTAGAAAGCCGTGGACATAAATTTCGGGCTTATGAAGTTGATACCCCTCTGTGATTTGAATACAGGTCACTCAGTGCTACCATCAGTGGGCTATCCGCGTCAAAACAGGCTTCCTATGGGATTTCAATATATACCTGGTTACGCATCAACGAACGGCCAATATCAGTTTGCAGGCACGCCTTTCTAGTAAATGTTAATAAGCCCGAAACTTGGATTTAATAATAATAATAATAATTTTGAGTTGTCTATCGATTATCTCCAACAAAACAACAACCATTCATATACATCAATATAGTGAAGCTTCCGGCCTAATAATCGCATTATAGTGATGACTAACAGAATTTATTTGACTCCGAAGTCTAGACAATATGATACTGCTTATTCCCTTGTGAAAAAACCTTTGTAATCTAAGAATCATAAATAAGG